CCATTGCTGTATGTGAACAGAGAGTGAGGCACCCAGAAAACAACTCTAATTGAGCTTTGCATATTTTTTTCTGTAGCTGCAGAACCTGTATGTGGGGCTGAACAGAAATCATGAAGAACCGGAGAGGCGCGAGCTGCAGAGAAGCATGAATGTTCTTCCTGCTGTGCAAGTCCTTTGAGATATCTTCATGCCTTCTCGAGGCTAGATCTGGGGGACCACACCAAGGTCTGAACACCAATATTCAAGCACAATAACCAGAAGGAATTCAGAGCTACGAAGGTAAGGCATAGTTATCTTCACTGTCTATTCAACACAGCAACTTTTAATCTGTGTTGCTGCAAACGACGGGCTGATGTGTAGAGTGGATGCTTGTGTTGCGAACGTGATCCATGCGGGATGCGCGTTCGCAACCTGCAGCGTTTGCAACCTGCAGCTACGTGTCTGCGCACATGTGGGTTGCAATTCGGCGCTTCTGCGCATGCACAAAGTGCGATTAGCGCTTCTGCACATGCGCGACCGCCGAAACCCGGAATTAACCTGTCCGTAACCCGAAAAAACACAACCTGAAGCGTCTGTAACCCAAGGTATGACTGTACAATTAAGTTGTTTCTTCAGGGGGAAAGTACATTAAGAATTAACCCCCTCCCCCTGTCAAAATGCTGCAGAGGAGCGTTGGGAGCATTGCTCCGTTGGCTAAGCTCAGTGCACCTTGCCACCAGCCACTGGCAGGGTTTGCTTGACACAGTAAGCCATGATTCAATTGGCAGCATGGCTCCCCTGCCCCCAGCACATGTGCTGCTCAGACTAACCATGGCTTGTCATACCGCCTGAACATGGCACGAGGAACAAGGCAGAAATAAAAGAACAGACCTTGGTTTGTTACTGGCTTGCTTCATGTGGTTTGTTTGTTTGTAGCAAGCAGCTAACCACGGTCCAGATTAGGATCACAGGAAGGATGCCTAGGCCAAGTCAGATCACTGGTCCATCAAGCTCAGCACTGTCTCTACCTCTGCCCGGCAATGGCTCTCCAGAGTTTCAGACAGGGGATCTTTTACAGAATCATAGTGTTGGAAGGGATCATTCCCAGCCTTTTGTGGGGCTTGAACCTGGGACCTTCTGTATGCAAAGCAGATGCTCTACCCCTGAGCTAGGGTCATTCCCCAACAAGCGAGCCATGGGGAGTGAGAAGTCATATGGGCATGGTAGCAGAGCCACTGAAAATTAAACCATGGTTTAAGACAAACCTTGGTTTATTGTGTGAATGAGGCCATTGTGAATGAGATGTGTGCCCTGGAACATAACCCAGGATACTCCACAATATAGAGGGTTCCTCTGCAATGTGTTCAGTTCCCCTGAGAGGTGGCAGCTTAAAAAACACCACCACCTTTGTGTTAAAGTATACCAGGGTTTTTGTTTTAAAGGGTTGGCTGATATATTTAGCACTGGAATTCTAAATTGCTCACTGAGCTCAAGGGGTCTTATTTCCCTGTGAGTAAATAATTTAGCTGATGATTTAGCTCATAGGTAGGCAAACTAAGACCCGGGGGCCGGATCCGGTCCAATCGCCTTCTAAATCCAGCCCACGGACGGTCTGGGAATCAGTATGTTTTTACATGAGTAGAATGTGTCCTTTTTATTTAAAATGTACTGTATCTCTGGGTTATTTGTGTGGCATAGGAATTCATTCATTCCCCCCCCCCCAAAAAAAAATAGTCCGGCCCTCCACAAGGTTTGAGGGGCAGTGGACAGGCCCCCTGCTGAAAAAGTTTGCTGACCCCTGATTTAGCTGCAATTTCACTTAGACAATTTAAATTGTATTGTCACCAAATACCTTAGTGGGGTGTTTTTTCAGGTACCGATGGAAGAGTAAAAGAATGCATGCATGCTGTTAACAATAGCTGCTACTTATTTTTAGGAAGATTTCCCCTTCCCCTTTCTTTCTCTGTTAGTGTAATACACCACAGCCAAGCTTCCATCCCACCCCCAACCCTCGTTAAGCAGCTGAAGGTTTAGTGCATTTATCTACTAATTAAACAACTTAAAAGCATGCAGAGGCACACAGACACATACTTAAATAAATGTGTGAAATTCAATAAAAGTGGCAAGACACACACTGCTCCAAACCAACAGCTTGGTGCTAAAGGTCATTTCAAATTTTCAACCGGCTGCAGCAAACTCTTGAGCTGCTTTGGAAGGTGTCACAACACCTAAGAGCGGATGCAGACGTCAGCTGCCAATTGGGAGTGACAGCAGCATGGCTTAATCCTTGGGACAGTCTGTCTATTTTGAAACACATTTCGCTTTGGAATAAGGTCACTGGAAAGCAACAGGCTCTGCAGCATTTAAAGTCGAAACCAAGCACCCCGTTTGGAGGAGGAGGAGGGAAAAGAAGAGGCTCCAGGCAGCTCATATTTTCAGCACATCTCACTGGCATTTGGGGAAGCTGCTTTTTATTGTTGTTATTATGGCTTATTAAAACATTCCTCTGTACATGCTTGCAACAACAGAAAGTTCATTTTTATAATTGCCAAAGCTAAGTCCCCAGGGGCCTTCTCAGCATGTCATATAAACTCTTCTCTTCAGGGTTTTACATAAAAACAGCCGTAAACTCTTTTTTCTGTACAGGGCCTGTACAGAACTTGTCAGTTGCTGGGGGTGGAAGGACATTTAAGGGAAAAGTGGCATACAACAAAGAACACCCTGTCAACCTCCTCCTTCCCTCCACAACATCTATTCCAATTTGTCCTAATGTCTTTATTTCCCTGCATCGGTGGCAACCAATGCATGGTGGAATGAATGACTTACTGATGTCAGGAGATGGAGCGAGTTGAATAAGTGGCAAGCAGTGTAGGAGAGGGACTCTGCTCTGAGATGTCGGTTTTGGGGAACACCTAGGCCAGCTGCAAAGCGCCCTGCAAGATCCAAATACCAGCTGATTGTCAGGTCTTGCAATGTGCTCTGAAAGGCACTTTGTGGGCTGTGCATCAAAACCATGCAGGCAAAAAACTTCAAATCACCTGATGTCATTATGACATCAGTCGATTGACAAGTGGCTATAGGCGGTGGATGGGGAAAGTAATGACCTGACAAGATACAGTTCCTTACCTCTGCTTTATTGATTTCAAAGTCAGCCAACCCACTGTGCCCAATTTTCACGACACAAGTGGCACAGATTTGCAGAATGACCTAACTAGGAATTGTCTGCATTGCAACCGATTACTTGTTGCTCCCTATTCTCCTCAGAGAAACCAGAAGTTTTGTTTGTATGATTCTGCACTTATACTGGCAACTGAAGCTGCAGTAGTGCAATTAAACAGCTCGTTAATATACAGAGGGTTGTACACTCAGTGGCTCTGGATTTCTTGCCTGATGCATTTTTTTTCTTCTCCTGCTGGAAGAAACTGGAGTTAGGAGTTAACTGAGACTTCTTCCTCCAGCACAGAAGAAGAGCTGGAGAGTGTTGAACTGTAAAAACAAACAAGCAAAAGTCTGCTGCAGGAAGGGCGGCTGGGAGTCTATGATGGAGGCAACACAAAAATTGGATCTGAAATGCATTTCCCCACTTTAAAACACCCTCCTCCAAAGCCTGCACATCCCTCTGTTAAAAAACTTATCTTTTGGGGAGATAATGTCTATTTTTGAAACAGAAAACTGTATACGTGTTTTCATGTTTAATCTATTTTGGTAGTGCTGAAATAAAAAAATATTTACAGAAAATCCTCCCCTCCCATAATGAAATTGGACCCCCACCCAAAGAACGATTGTCACACTAAATCAATAGGATGGGGGGCGGGGGTTTGAAGCAAGCAGGGGGAAAGGCTGGGCTCCCCATAGTGCCTTCCCTGCTCCCCACCCCCACGCCAGCAAGTGGCAAAGTTCTCCTGGAACTGTTTTTTGTTTTACTCTGTGAAGCCTGACCAGCAGGCAGGGTCCTGGTGCTGCTTTTAAACCCTGTGCAGTGCTGTGGCACAGCACCAAGAAAGAACTGCAGCTGTTTAGTCCTTTGGTTAAGTCCCTTAGACAAGTAATAGCTGCACTTAAAGTATTATTGAAATCAACAGAACAATATGCTTGTGTGCAAGTCCCATAAGCTCTAAGAGTTGTGCACTTCTTTTTGTTCTGAGGTAATTTGCTACAAAAACTAAACGGGGTTAATTTGAACTGGATTCCACGTAACTAAGGGCCCCTACGGGGGGGGGGGGAGGCTAGGTTTTTGTTGGGCATATTCTGCAACGTGTCATTGACGCAATAATAGTGCATTAACGGTGGGGTTTATACTGGACTGTCCACACATCATCCTGCTTTATCTGTTGTTCTGTGATGGTCATTATTGCCATCTACCGGGGCACTCTTTTCCTATTCTGCAACGAAAGCTAGACACCACTTCCCTACCCACCCCCAGGAACACTGGTGACTTGAAAAATTACAGCAGGCAGTTACAGAACATGCACGGATTAGAAACAAAGTAGTATGTCCATCCTGAAGCTTGCAAACGGTATCAAAAGTGGGATTCTGTATTCATCTCTCTCTCTCCCCGTACTGCTGCTCAGACCAAAACCTCTGGATAATTTTATGAAGAAGCTACCTCCATCTACAGCAGTGTTCTCTTGGCAGTGATTCCGTGCCTTATTATTGCTATGGAATCAGAAAGCTGATGTGTGACTTTGGGGGTCACTCTCTGTGTTTTGGAAGACAAAGCTTGCTAACTACGGGGTCAGCGATGCACTGCAAAACCAACAGCACTACTTTGACCTTGAAGAAGTGCTGCTGCCCATATCCACGTGCGTGCGTGAATAGATTAAGGGCGGGAGTGGTCTTCCCATTGACTATTGCTTAGCTAGCTGAAAATCCATATGCATTATAGACAACGTGCAATGTGGGGTGGGGAACCACCTAAGTGCATAAAAAGAACCCTGCTGGATCAGGCCAATGGCCCATCTAGTGCAGCATCCTGTTTCCACAGTGGCCAACCAGATGCTTATGAGTAGCCCCCAGCACTCTCCCCTCCTGAGGTTTCCAGCGACTGGTATTCAGAGACTTACTGCCTCTGACTGTGGAGGCACACCATCACCATCACGGCTAGTAGCCACCTAGAATGTCCTTTAGCAGCAAAATTGAACAGGAAACATCTAGTGTCCTTGGAGATCCTCATACAGAGATTGCTGGGAACTGAAACTGTGTGTCAGTTTTTGTGTCGTTCGCCAGGCATCCAGTCTCTGCCTCTGCGCCACAACTGCTACCTCCTCTTTCGCATGCAAGCTTCCAGCCTTCCCAGCTCTTCATAGGACCGATAGAAAATGTCAAAGTCTTTGGCACCCCAGCTCTTCCAGGCGGCCAAACACCACTCTGTGGCCTCATTCTTGAAGCAGCACACAACCGTGTCCTTGGTCAGCACAGCAGCATCCACCAGTGTCCTGGGGAACCCAGAAAAAAAGAGAGGTTTCTTTTTAAAAGAAAAAAAAATAGAAGACAGAAATTTCCTTTTGCACAGTGTATATTGCAAGAAGATTTTTTAAAAAAGTTAAAGCAAGTTTTTAGCTCTTCTGGGGCAGGTTTGAGGAACCTCCAGATGTTGCAGAACTAAGTCCAGTCATTCCTGGCCATGAGCCACACTTGCTGGGGCTGATGGGAGTTGAAGTCCAGCAACATCTGGAGGGACAAAAGTCCCCCACATCTGTTTTAGGGTGTGGGCAAATCCTGCTCCAATTTTAAGGCAGCTAATCAAGATTTCCAGGTAGGAGGGATGGTGCTTCTGTGTTTTGCGTAGCTCCTCATTGCCCCTCTCTTCGTAACTAGCTAATTTGGAATAACTTATATGAGGGTGTTAAAAAAAAAGGGCAGAATAAATTATGCAAAATGAAGGAAGATAATGCAAGCCTTCTCAATTTAATTATTGAAGAATTATGCTCTTCTCGAACAGAGAAGCCTTTCAATCTTCACCATTCCACCCTTGCAGAAATATAGAAACGTAAGGCTTTTAACCAATGCTAGCCTATTTATTTATCAGATTTATATCTTGCCTTGGTGTACACACATCCCTTCTCCCAAGTTGTTCCAGGCTTGCTTAGGTTTTTGTCTTGTTGTGAACAGCACATTACCACCTTTCCCTTCGCCTGCCTGAAATGAACTTCCTTCACCTTCATGCCGGGGAAAGAGGTTTGCAGGATCTGAGAGCAAAGCTGCGTTTGGTCTGATCCTGCTCGTGAGCAAATGAGGAGAAGCTGCCTGCCTGTGCACATGCCTCTTCTGAACTGCTCCTGATTCTCTCCCTGAGATACTGTTAACAAGTGGAAATGTCTGCGATTGAACTGGGCTCTCTGTGCCTGCCATGTGCAGAGCGTCACGTCTTTCCAAAACTGTCCCCTGCCACCTTCCCCTTTCCCATTCATCCTTACCCATAAGGGGCCAGCTCTGCTGCCTTCAGAACCGCTATGACTCTCCCCCGCTGAGAGATGGCTTCCTTCTCCAAGCCGATCACAATGATATCTCCGCCTTGCCTGGAAAGGGAAAGCAGGAGGATTTCCGTTACATGCAGCTCGGCGGGGGGGGGGGGGGCGATTCAACGGCAGGAAAAATGCAGACGTTTGAAAGGTTCCTGTGTGGATGCCTTGGAGCGGCCAAAGCAGCAGTCATCCAAAAGGCCACGGAGAAAACCTGAACTCCTGAAAATGGCAGGATTCTTAGAGGATCATAGAAGCCTGTCAGGCTTTGCTGAGGAGCAAAAACATACCCAGGGTGTTCATATACAGCCTCTAATCTCTCAGGATGAGCTGTGGCCTTGAAGAGCTGTTCAAGCCAAGCTGGTAGGAAGCGCAAGGAGCATGTAGTTCAAAAGCCTGGGAGGCTATTAGAGAGCAGGGAGAAATTCAACTTGGGTTTCACCCGAATCTATTAGATGTCAATTTCCCGAAACAATATGGGAACTGAAACACAGCTATCCTTTTTTCACTTACTCAATTTTTGCTATGGGGCTTCCCAGCCAAGAATTGTTTACAAAAATGCACATACTGGGGGGAATTGTGCATAAAAGGCCAATGTGGTATAGTGGTCTGAGTGCCACGCTACGACCTGGAAGAACCGGGTTCAAATCCCCACTTGGCCACAAAGCTCACTGGGTAGCCTTGGGACAGCCATTGTCTCTCAGCCTAGCCTACTCTCACAAGGCTGTTGTAGGGAAGAAACCATATACGCCACCTTGAGACCTTTGGAGGGTGCAGGTTTCACCAGATATACTGGTGGAAACCACACACACACTCACAGAGAGAGATAGATAGATGGAGCTGAAGTATATTATGGAAAACTGCTTGCAAAAATGTGTACATTCTTCAAAACTGCATATAAACTGTGTTATTTAGGATAAATTCATCCTAACTTGTTGAATTTTCATGTGATTTATTATTATTATTTATTGAATTTATATACCGCCCTATACTCGGGTGTCTCAGGGTGGTTCACAGAATAAAATCCAAGATATAAAACCACAAAATACTTAATAATAAAAACAGCAACCCAATACCCCCCCCCAAATATTTTTAAAGGGCATAGGACGTAAATTGGATCAACCAAAGGCCTGGTAAAATAGCAACATTTTGCCTGGTGCCTCCAGATGTTTTGAGACTACAATTCCCATCATCCCTGACCACTTGTCCTGTTAGCTAGGGATGATGGGAGTTGTAGTCCCAAAACATCTGGAGGGCTGAGTTTGCCTATGCCTGGTGTATAATGAAGGCGCCAGGTGAACTTTCCAAAAAAATTACTTTTAAAAAAAATGCAAACGACTGCAAAATGTGGAGAACTGAATTTATGACTGGAAAAATGAGAAACAGAAAGAACTGGGAAGACAAGTCAGGATCTCAGCGTGGGATCCTGAACCTTGAACGTGAAGGCATTCAAATCTTTGCAAGAGAGAGAGGCTTCCAGTGCAATTTACCTGGGAATCCAGAGGAGGTCTTTCACAGGTAGAATCCTTACAGCCTGGAGGCAGCCAGCGTGAGTGCTGGCTGGTTCCAAATCACTGTCAGGCCCCTCGCAGGGAGTCTTAGGCTCCTGCGTCTTGTCGGGCTCCTCACAGTCTGTCGAGAAAGGAGCGCTGGAATAGCTTGCAGGGGAGCTCGGCATGCTTGAGGCAGACCTCATCAAGCGGTTGACCGACGAGGAGGAGACAGAGGACACAGAGCAATAGTCCGTCAAGGAGTCCTGGTGGTTTAATATCTGGATGCCAAGCTCTTGGCTGCGGAGGATCCCCACATCAGCAGAAGCATTGCTCCCGGGCTCCGGGCTCCTGTCTGTAGCCAGCTCGGCGGGGATCAAGGCCGAGGGCTGCTGAATGGTGAACATGTCCCTCAGGGGGCTGCAGTCCCCGCAGAAGTACCTTGCACACAGCTGGTAAGTGGCCGTGTAATACATAACCAGGAGGTTGGTTGCGTCGTCCAGGCACCAGGCCACTTCCTCTCCGTTGCACTCTGAGCTGCACACAATGGACACAACCGTGGACGGGGGTTCATAGGGCTCCAGCCTCCTGGCGATCTCCATACTTGCACAGTCTATGATGAGGATCCCAGGGCCGTTGCTGTACCAAACTTCGGCCCCGTTGTTTGCCGTCTCCATCACTTTCACGGGGTAAGGGTTCTGGCGGGGGTCGTCGTCGCTGATCTTGAAGGTGGAGCGGTTGGCCGTGTGGGAGCAGAGGTAGCAGCAGCCGTCCTCGGGGATACCGTGCGGTGCTTGGAAAACAGCTATCAGTCCGTCTGATAAACCAGCCAGGACAAGGTAGGCATTCTAAAAAGGCAGGAGAGTTGTTTGCTTTTTTTTAAAGGACTTTTTTTTGGGGGGGGGCAGTAAATTAGAATTCTAGATTCCCAACCTTCATACAGTGTTATAAGAAATATAGCAACAACGCCATCGTATTTAAGCAGGGGAATTCATGAAGCTCTCGCATTCACTTTTCCAGGGGCAGGTAAAAATTCCAGGTTTCCTATTTGTAAAATGTATCCGTTAATCCATTCACTTTTGTTAGCGATGCAGCAAAAACTCCGCAGGGTTCTGATTACTTTAGCTGATCTATCCACCCTAAAGTGAAACAATTATATTTCCTTAATCAGTGTAACAATGTAAACAGATGAGCAAAGTGCATTTTAGAAAGGTAACTGCCGGGGGGGGGGATGGACAGTTCCCCCCCCCTCCTGCCCAGCATTTACCTTTCTAAGGTGCCATTTGCTCATCTGTTTGCATTGTTCAATTATTAGGCTCCATCCTGCAGGCCAACATTGGCAGCAGGGAGAGATCAGGCAAGAAAGATGTGCTTTGCCTGCAAAGAAACAAGGCTGTTTGATTCGGCTATGCGTGCCTGTTCCCAGCAAGGGACAGGTTTGCAAAGCCAAACTGAGCAGGATTTAACCTCCTCCATGTCAGCTGATGAGCAGGGGAGTTAATTCCTGCTGCTTTGGCTACAAGTGCCTATCCTCTTCTGGGAACAGGTGCATGCAGATAAGGCAGAACTGAACTCCACCTTCCCACCCATCAGCTGATGGCATGAGTGAGGACAGCTGCTTGACAAATGGTGAGGTCTGGGGAAAATGGCCTCACAGGCAAGTGGACCCTCTGGCAGGCCAGTATCAGCCTGCAGGCTGAAGGTTCCCCACCCATGGGATAGAGCAGTGTTTCCCAACCTTTTTTGGGCAAAGGCACACTTGTTTCATGAAAAAAATCTGTTCTACATGGGAAAGCATTCAGCACTGTCATTCTCCCATCTGCCATCTGAATTGGTACTATTCTGGGTCAACTTACTCTGCTGCATGTGTAGATGAAAATGGCACCAAGTGTGGGGGAGGGGGCAGAACAGGTTTCAGATACAGGATATTAAGCATACACGTACTTCAGATTGAACTGGTTGCTTGCTTTGCAAGTTTTCATTTCCCAAATGACTGCCTTGGCAAACGCAATACCTACCAGGCTCAACGCCAGTCTCGCGCTGCCGCTTCCCGCGCTCTCAAGGACCCGGGAGGAGGAAGGCGTGAAGGGAATCCCGAAGGCGCGAAAACCTCGCGCATGCGCAGGCCTTCCGCCTGCGACAGCCCAGTAGGCCGGCCGAAGCGAGCGGCGATGGGATGTGGGAGGGAGCTCGCTCGCCGCCCCGCGTGCAGGGGCGCCGACTTATAAAAAATATTGGGGGGGCCCATACCGGGGTCCTGCCCCGAGAAGTTTTCTAAATTTTAGATGAAAATTAGTGAGTTTTAAAGTATTTTGGCGGAGCTGGAGCAATTGGGGAGGAGGGGGCTTGTTGCCGGATTCTTCAGCTGGGCCGGAGATCCGCTGCTGGGGGGTCCCTGGGCCGAGTTGTGAGCACGGCCTGCTGAAGGGAGATCCAGCCGATTGCGCGACGGGGACGGCCGGGGCTCTCCGGCTAGGGCGCACGGCTGGCTGGCTGGCTGGCGAGGGAGCAGGTGGGGAGGAGGCGGGGGGTATAACGTTCTCAAAATAAACCGGTGCGTAAACGCAGGTGGCGCTGTGGGTAAAAGCCTCAGCGCCTAGGGCTTGCTGATCGAAAGGTCGGCGGTTCGAATCCCCGCGGCGGGGTGCGCTCCCGCTGCTCGGTCCCAGCGCCTGCCAACCTAGCAGTTCAAAAGCACCCCCGGGTGCAAGTAAATAAATAGGGACCGCTTACTGGCGGGAAGGTAAATGGCGTTTCCGTGTGCGGCTCTGGCTTGCCAGAGCAGCGATGTCACGCTGCCCACGTGACCTGGAAGTGTCTCCGGTAAGCGCTGGCCCTCGGCCTCTTGAGTGAGATGGGCGCACAACCCTAGAGTCTGTCAAGACTGGCCCGTATGGGCAGGGGTACCTTTACCTTTAAACAAAATAAGCAGATGCCCCTACCACAGTGCCAGTACTTTACTGGGTCTCTTAAATGCAAAATTGCAAGATCTTGATTTCCCACCACCACCTAAAGGGAAGGATATGAGATGAGCAATAGCTGCAGGGAACCTCCCGAGCTCAGGAACCTCGCCCTTCTTTAGCAAGACTGAAAGTAAGTGAGGATCCTGAACAGCTACGGGAGGTCAAAGAAGGGCGGCTGCAGGTCCCGAGGGCTGAAGGCGCCACAAAGACCAGCGCTGCTCTGCTCGCTCCCTCTGCCTCGCGCGCCCAGCCCCTTGCCCCGCAGAAGAGACCCGGGTGGTTGTCATGACAAACCCATTACCTCTTCTTAGGCCCCTCTCTCTGATTCTCGCGGGAGTGCGAATCCTAGCTTGGAAAGCCTTAGAACGGAGCAGCGCAGAAACGCAGATCCCAATTGGCCAAAACGGCTGCCACTCTATACGGGGGGCGGGGGACCGAGGGAAAAACGAGGGGAGCGCTCTGGAGCGGCGCGCTCTAATAGCTTATCGACGGGAGTTCCTGGCCTGGCTAAAACTACAATTCCCAGCAAGCTTTGCAGCACGGGTTGCCTCATTGGTCCCAGCATGCAGCGCCTCTCCAATTACTGAGTGGGCAATAAAAAGCCGTACTAGGCGTGTGAGAGGCAGAATAAGGATGGGAGGCAAGTCAGCTTCGCCGCGGTCTCCTTTCAATAAGCATGACTTTCGAAACACCAGGCGTGCTTCTTTCTCGTCACGTCCAGCCTCGCTCGGTTCCCCTTCGTTCACACAATTTCTATCGGCCCGTGCGAAACTTGCGTGCCCTCCTCGGCTCTCCCCTCACCTCGCGCCCTTGGGCTTATCTCCTCTTTCCCAGAGCGCGCTTTCGGCGACCAACTCGGCGGAATGCTTCCCTCTCCTAATGGTGGCTGGGCGCGTCCGTCATCGGGAGAGGGGTAGGATCTGCGGGCTGGGCGAGGGCTTGGTTGGCTGCCTCGGGATTTGCGCCTCTCTTCGGGTTGCGCAGTCAGGCGGCGGGTTTGCGAGAGAGGGAGAGCCGGGCAGGTCGCTCCTCTCTCTTTATCTCTCTCCGCCCACACGCGCCTCCCCCACCCCACTCCCCCCGAGTCCGTGTGCCTATGTGGGGCACGTTACAGCCCCGTGACGTCAGCGCCACGCAGGCAGCCAGGCAGGCAGACGGCGAGAGCCCCGCGCTGGGCGGCCTCTCCTCGCCACCGCCGCCCCGCCTCTCGCCGCCCAACTCGCCCGCCTCCCTCCAGGCAACATCTCGCGGCACACCAGGCAACGTCTCGCGGCACACTAGTGTGCTGCGGAACACCGGTTGGGAAACACTGGGATAGAGAACTGTCTACAGAACTACATTTTTCATCAGCCAAGATCCAATAATATGTATCTTGCAACACCAGAGACCTTTTGAAACTATGTTAAGAGTTTTGATTGGTTACCAATGTAATCAAATTCCAGCTAATTTAATTGCTAATTGGTGGAAACATGTAAAATAAGTCGGGGCACTGCAGGAAGGTGCTCATATTTTTGCAGCCATGGAAGTCCAAGAGTCTCCGGTCATGTAATGGAAAGCTAGATTAAGGTTGCTAAAACTTCTGAGGAAGTTATAAAAATTTGTAGCCAGGGTAGACCATCTTGTCTAGAAACACAGTGGAAGGAATCTTTGTGCGGCTCCTCAATTCCTTTCTGAATTACAGCGACTCAGAGCTCTATAACCAGCATGTATTTTCATTAATTCCAGAATGCCTAGCATCATACCCAGCAGTTTTCCTGACTTGATTCAAAATGTATTAGAGTTAACAGCACTGAATGTGCACTGAAATACAGGGAATGGTTATTCCTAAAACTGCCAGCAGCAGAAGCTATAGTTGTATTTCTGCTATTAACAACTCCTCCAGCAAGCTTTACTAATCTGAATAATTCTTTTTTAAAAAAAGAAGAAAGAGTCCTTTAAAAAATGTGGTTTTTTGTGATGCTTCACTTTTGAAAACCACTCTGCTTTACCTTTTTTATGACAGGTACTGCAAGGAAACAAGTGACAACTGCTGGAGTGTCCACACCCTTTTGTGGAACCTTTAAAGGACACATGCCTTGTAAGCTGTACACGTAAATCTTTTGATCCTGTATGCAAACAAAATAAAGGAAACCTTTTCTCAACAATTAGGCATATATAGAATATGACAATATAGAAACAGAAGAGAACATGTTGTACACACTTTTAAAAATTCGACTTGCTTCTGAAATAGGTGGGCACATATTGTCTCTTTTTAACTTATGCAAAAGTATTTCATATACCAAATCTATTCCTGTTAGATTATAATAGCTATTTTTTAAAATTACACTCATTTTTTTAAATCATGTGTTCAGTTTGTTGGGATTGAGGTCCTTTTTAAAAATACCATCTGGGGGAGAAGAGCCACCTGAGATGTCAGGCTGCCCATCTGAAGCATCCATGCCCTGCTGTGCCCTTCAACCCTACCAATTAACAGACCACAGCAGGCACCCGCTTAATGCGTTTGATGTCTGAAGCAATGGAGTGCCAGCAAGCGAGCAGAAGAGAAACTCTGGCTCAAAAACAGGTGACATAAGAAATACCTCGCTGAATCACAAATACCTCGGTGGCTGTCCATAGATAACTCTGAACTTTCATTTGGCAGCACAGCTTCATTCCCGGGCAGCTCATCCTTGCAACTTCGACCAGTCCTTTCTCTACGTTAACTACCGTGTAGTTCCTGGAAGGAGGGAAACAGAACTCATTCTAACAACAGCGGAGGAGGAGTTTGGATTTGATATCCCGCTTTATCACTACCCGAAGGAGTCTCAAAGCGGCTAACATTCTCCTTTCCCTTCCTCCCCCACAACAAACACTCTGTGAGGTGAGTGGGGCTGAGAGACTTCAGAGAATTGTGACTAGCCCAAGGTCACCCAGCAGCTGAATGTGGAGGAGCGGGGAAGCGAACCCTGTTCCCCAGATTACGAGACTACCGCTCTTAACCACTACACCACACTGGCTCACACAGCGCCAGAAGTAAAGCCAGAAACAGCCATGAGTAGTGGAGAAAAATCATGGCTGTGTGTTTGGATGGTTCTCGAATTCTATCTCCCAGGGTAACTTCCACACTGTTGCTGTTATGAGGGCAGGATTCAGACACCAACCACCAAATTCAGCTTATGTGATTAAAGTGGATTTGGCGCTTGTGCGTAACTAGCTCACTTTTTTAAAAATAAAAGACCAGACCTTTTGTAGTAAGGAGAGTGATAGGAAAATACACTGGGGTGGGGTAGGTAAAAATTGCTTGTGTACCTTCCCTGCAAACCAATCGCAGCAATTGTTTGACAAACAGCCAAGATTGTACAACCTCTTCACAAGCTTTGTGCCGACAAAGCAGGTAGAGTGCTCACCTGGAAGCAGCCCTGGTGTTTGGGGGCTCCCCACAGTGGGTGTTGTCAAGATACAGTGGTGCCTCGGGTTACATACGCTTCAGGTTACAGACTCCGCTAACCCAGAATTAGTGCTTCAGGTTAGGAACTTTGGTTCAGGATGAGAACAGAAATTATGCTCCGGCGGCGCAGCAGCAGGAGGCCCCATTAGCTAAAGTGGTGCTTCAGATTAAGAACAGTTTCAGGTTAAGTACGGACCTCCGGAACGAATTAAGTACTTAACCCGAGGCACCACTGTATAGCTATCTACCTTCCCATCTGGAAGTTGAAAGGATGGGGAAGGAAGAAAAGTTCTTTCTGGAGAAGAAAACCGTAGCCAGTGTGGTGTTGAGGCAAGACTGGAAGACTAGGACCAGGGAGGGAGAACAACCCAGGTTCAAACAAATCATCAACCTTCCAGCCATGAAATTCACTTGGGTGAGGTTGAGCCAGCCACTGTCTCCCAGGGCTAATCTATCTCACAGAGTTTTGGTGAGGATAAAATGGAAACGGTGAGAATCATGAATACTGCCTTCAGCTCCTTGGAGGAAAAGGGACGATCAATGAGCAAAATACATTTTCATTCCATTTAACTACCAAACAGCTGGATCCTCCAGGCCTAGTTAGCACAATGAAAGATGATGAGGTTGGTTTGGTTTGAAGAGGCCAGAGGATCTGATACATTCTTTAAACAACAGCAACTTGCCTAGCGCTGGTTCCCCCCCCTGTTCCTTCCCTCTGTATTCTGGGTCCCTTATTTTATCTATTTAAAGATTTCTACAGTTTTCCGCAAAATGCATCAACAATTTTGAACAAGAAAAGTTCATTAAACTATGTAAGGAATATACGTACATTGCAATGCGAACCAAGAATTTACAAATAAGTGAGCAGGTAACCATAGGTTCACAAATGCAAAGGGTCCACACATTTAGTATTGCATTTGTTTCCTTAAGGGAAAGCCATCACGGCAATTGGATCTGAATGTTTTTAAAACAATGGCACAGGGGTGTATTTCCAAGGAGGAACAGAGAGTTAATTTTAATTTTGCTGCTACTCACAATAAGATACTGTTTGCATTTGGAAAGGAAAAGCCACAAAGCATCCATAAATTGATCACTGAATGCTGGATGTCTTAACCAGCCTGAGCACAAAACGTTACACATTAAAAATTTGAACCAGATGTGCTTTTTCCCGTTATTGTCCTGCCTTTTGGAAAAACACCCCCAAAACCAGCGTTACGAAACAACAGCAACAACCCTACCTATAACAAAAAGGAGAAGCCCGGGCATCAAAAATCTGGTCAAACCCAAGACACAACTTCCATTTTACCACAGCATTTATTTATAACATATAGATAAATTAGTAAGTTGGGCCCAAGGCTCTCATATACCTATGGCTGGAAGGGAGATTCCTCCTTCGCAGGAAGGATCAGATGGTGTCACTAGTGGAGTGGAAGATTCACATCTCAAATTCAAAACACTCTTCTAATCCTAGTTCATCAAATGCCTTAGGCTCAGGGATTCAAAATGGTGGCCCAAGTAAATAGTCCTTTTTCTGATGGCCCCCAAACACTACTTTGGTCTACAAATGAACTCTAAACTGGACCACTGAAACCACCTCATTGTGGTGGATCCCACAAGATCTCCATTACTACATTATCCAATGTAATGCGCTCATTATAAGGGTCTGTTTTCCATCTGAGAAGTGAGAATACCCAACCTTCCCTATGAATACAAGTGAGCATCTTCTGTATGCAGCTCAAGGGATGCTGAGCGACGGCTTTGTTTATGCTGAACTAAAGATGACAAGAAGGATCTAAAAATAAAAACAACAATGCACAAACCTTGCGTCTTCTTTCCCATCCCAGAATACGACTGTGCACTCTTCCCCTTGGGAAGAGAAGAAGGACAACTGCTTCCCACATGGCAGCAGGTACATGAACGTAGCAAAAGAAGGTTCTTTCATTCGTCCTATCACAGAGGTGGCCAATGGGCGCTGTGTGAAAGAGAGGACAGCGTAATGTGTCTATGAAAGATGATGGTATATATAAAAGGACCTCCTGTCCCCTTCAGAGCTCTGTGTCTCCTTTGAGGCACACACCATGAAGAGCTCTTTGCTCCACTGGAACGAACAGAGACACATGGGGCTACACACATGAGTCTGTGAGGGAAACAGGAGCCCCCTAAGCATTATTTAAAGGTACCATAGTGCTCAAAATGTATTTATTTATTTCATAAAATTTACACACCACTTGGTTGTAAAAACAAAGAAACACCGCAAAGTGGTTTGCAAATAGAAAAAAACAAATTATCGTAAAAACTGTTCAAAAAATATGTATTAAAATCAGCAATAAACTAAAAACAGGTTAGAATACACTTTGACATTCTACATATCTGGATAGGGTTGCTTAAATGAAATTGTTTTGCAGTTGTCTGGCATATATGGTGTGAATGGGCAGCTCTTTGCAAACAATTCTCCCCAGTCAATGCATTTTTGCATGCCGTTTTCACCAACCTATGTATTTTCATCCACACTTTCCCTTAATATTTGAATTTTAAAAGCACATTGTTTGGAGAACTGCATCACAAAATCCAAAGTGTGAATTCTGACGGGTTACTAACAATCTGGTTTGCATATTTTCAGGAAGCATGGATTAGCTAGGCTTGCTTTTACATGCTGCGACATTGTGGAAGGGATCAAATGCCGGTTCAAGAAGCCCGGGCCCAGCAGAAGTGCGAATTAGCAGTTTCTGATTAAAGCGCAAACCAAATCCAATTTGTTCCGCACCCCTACTAGGTGATCTGAAGCGGGCCCCCACTCTCTCTGAACCCAGCCTACCTCACAGGGCTTTTGTGTGGATAAAATTACAAGAATCACGATACGCTTCTTCTGAGCTCCCTGGAGGAAAAGCAGGGCCAAATATAAATGCATTAAAAAAATCAAAAATTCCAAAATCCACGTTAGAGCAATACTTTCATTAGCTCAACTAAAATGTCGCAGGATCCTGTGCAGGGCTATAAAATTACCCAGAATTCATCATCGTAAAAGCAACACAAAGGGGGTGGGAGAGAGAGAGACGTCTGTTGGCCAAGGCATCTGGGTCTGCATCTAGTAACAGCCTTAAAGCCATTTTTTGGGGGGTGGGGGAGAAAGGCAGCCGCAGACATTCAAATGAGGCCCTTTCAGGTGCTCTGCAGGTTTCAGGTTGCAGAGCAGCCTCTTGGGAACAGCTGCCTACTTCTTCATCATTCCTGTTCTCTGCCTACCAAAGGAACTTGCCCTAAGGACAGAGCTGGAACTGGGTTAGCAGCTGGTTATTGTATCTGCAGAAACTGGAGGATGGGGTCCCTCATTATTTGTGCTCTCCTCCTTTCCAGGAGGTCTGGTTGCAACCTCAAACCAGCAGAGCACCTGACATCTGACTGCCTGCTACTGCCTCCCATGCTCCATCTTAAACAAAGAGCAGACACAGAATCAAAGAACTGAAGAATAGGAAGGGACCCTGAGGACCATCTAGTCAAACCCCCTGCAATGCAGGAAGATGCAGCTGTCCCATACGGGGATCAAACCTTGGTGTTATCAGCACCACATTCTACCCAACTGAGGATAGATGACTTTCCTCATTCCAGCACTTTTAAATCACCCGATGAAGAAGAGAAGAAGAAGAGTTTGGATTTGATATCCCGCTTTATCACTACCCTAAGGAGTCTCAAAGCGGCTAACAATCTCCTTTTCCCTTCCTCCCCCACAACAAACACTCTGTGAGGTGAATGAGGCTGAGAGACTTCAGAGAAGTGTGACTGGCCCAAGGTCACCCAGCAGCTGCATGTGGAGGAGCAGAGATGCGAACCTGGTTCCCCAGATTACGAGACTACAGCTCTTAACCACTACACCACACTGGGTCCCAGTGAAGAATTCTGTGAAACTCAAAAGCTTGCACACTATTAATTTTTTTTACATTTTGGGTAGCTTAATAAAAGTTAATGTGGATTTTGGATTTTTGTTGTTGTGGGTCAACTTAATTTGAAATAGGATGCTGGCCTAGGTAAAGTTTTAGGCTGATGAAAATGCATGAAGAGCCCTGTTTGTAACTCAGAAAATGGTCAAAAAGGACCCTGTTGTGTCAATACAACCTTCTCATACCTTTTCTGGCTTAGTGTCCCAACATTCCATCATCAACGCCTGCATTTGATGGAACTGTACTTCTTCGGGCTGGCCCAGGACAGGCCGGATCCCCTTGGATAGCTTCTTAGCAATTTGAAGCTGGTGCTGGCCAAGCACAGGCCGCTGCCCAGACAACACCTCATAGAGCACCATTCCATAGGAAAACATGTCCACCTAGGAGAAAAATACATGCCCATTACAGAGATCTTTGCATTTTGGATAAGCTTTGGAATTAATACTATGCACAGTTGCATTCTTGATTGTTTCATTTTTGCAAATTTTGTCTATGACTTGATTGTCCTAAAACCTCAAAGTGGTTTGCAATAATAATAATAATAATAATAATAATAATAATAATAATAATAATAAATGTATAGGCAAAAATATTTAAATATTTATAACATTTAAAAAACAATTAAAATCAGAAACCCATTGCGCAAGAGATTTTACAATCTGTTGTGCGACAAAGTTACCAGCTGCTCTGTTGGTGCAAAAACATTTAGCTTACTTTGGAACAAGTGTATCATTAAGTGACTACACTGGATAAAATCCATCATTTTTGAAACATCTTGGCTCTGGTTTCAGGGGTGCCAAGTTGAATAAAATATTGGGGGGACCCAGGTAAGCCCTGCCCCACACAATCAATCACACACCATTTGAATGGCTATGCCCATCAACTTGGGGGTCCCCAGCCCCCTGAAACATTTTATGGGGGAGCTGAAGGGGCCTTAGCCCCTAGGAGTTGGCTCCTATGCCTAAGATGGGCCCTTTAGTTCTGGGTGTGAATTTCTTCCACAGAACCAGACACCTGAGACTTACCTTTTCATCATAGACGATCCGAGGTCGTATCTCGGGGGCCTGGTACCCAGGTGTGCCCTCCACTCCCAGAGCGCCTTCGTGAAAGGACTGTCGAGATATCCCGTAGTCAGATAGTTTGATATTGATGCTTTCCTTCACGTCTAGAGACCACACTAGAATGTTGTCTGACTTCAGGTCACAGAAAATGATGCTCTTCTTGTGGAGGTAGGCCAGGCCTGCTGCTATCTGATAGGCTACTTTTAGGGTCAACATGTGCCCTAGTGGCACAAAGGATGCCCCTATAGAAAGAGAGGGGAGAAAATATCACTGAGGGGGAATCGCTAGAACTGCGGCCCTCTGCTCCTGCAAAAGACCTGCCATAGCCCATCCAAAAGGACCATATGGGCCCAACCTTAAACCACAGAAGGACTATCCAAGTTATTACCTTTAGAGCTTTCTGACAACACAGTGGTGAGGCTGCCCAAAGGAGCCAGCTCTAAGGCGAAGCAGAGCGGGTGAATGCTAATCCCAATCAAGGAGACGACGCATGGGTGCTGCAGTGAGTGGAGCATGCTGGCTTCCTGGCGGAACTCGGAGAAGTTCTTCATGGCATCCATGGCCTGCAGGTGTCTCAACATGGAGTCTAAGCAGAGGAGACAACGCGCTGCTGTTACATTATTTTATGCTGCAGGGCATTGGCACAACCACAGAAGAGTAGCCTTGCTGGGCCCTGCTGGGCCAGATCAGGAGGCCTTTGGAGCAGAAAAGACTATGTATGTGACCACAGCTGTATGGATGGTATTGGCCAAGAGATGGGAAGAAGATAAAGTCCCGACCAGAGAAGAATGGCAGATTAAGTTGATGGATTATGACGAAATGGCAAAAATGACTGGAAGAATAAGAAATCAGGACGACCAAAAATTTTAAAACAGAATGAGGGAAATTTATAAACTTGTAGTTTAATGGTGAATTTTGGATATCATGGAGATTTGGATTAGTATAAAAGATGCAGGAGGAAATGATTAACAATAGAACCCACAAAGGGGAGGAGGGAAGTCCAGGAGATTCCTTGGGATCTTGTTTCTTATGTTGTATATTGGATATGTGATTGTAAAAACTGCAATTTGAAAAACCAAATTAATAATTTTTTAAAGAGAGTCCATTGAATCCAGCACCCTGCTTCCGACTGAGTAGCAGTCAAGATACTTCTGGGAAGCCCGCAGGCAAGGGGGTCAACGACAACCATTTCCACCTTTGAAATAAACCCCTGTGCTCATTTCTCCACACCTCAATTCCATGCATTGCTCAGACCTCTGCCCTGTAGCAGACTAGATCAGGCTTGCTGCTTTTATTCATACGTGCATGTTGCACAGAGAATTATTATTATTATTATTTATAGCCCGCCCTCCCCGGCCAGAGCCAGGCTCAGGGCGGCTAACACCAATAAAATCACAGTAAAGACATAATAGGGGGGAAAGAGAGGGAAAATAAACCAATTTAAAATACAGGTTAAAATGCAATTTAAAATGCAGCCTCATTTTAAAGTAGCCGATAAATCAAGACCATAAGAGGAGGGAAACATAAGGGTCAGACCGAGTCCAAACCAAAAGCCAGGTGGAACAGCTCTGTCTTGCAGGCCCTGCAGAAAGATGTCAAGTCCCGCAGGGCCCTAGTCTCTTGTGACAGAGCGTTCCACCATGTCGAGGCCAGTGTTGAAAAGGCCTTGGCCCTAGTTGAAACCAATCTAACCTCCTTGAGGCTTGGGACCTCCAAAGTGTTGTTATTTGTGGATCTTAAGGTCCTCCGTGGGGCATACCAGGAGAGGCGGTCCCATAGGTACGTAGAATGCACCAAACCTCTCCACCCCTTAAACACACACACACACACACACACACACCAAGATGCACATTCTTTCTTGTACATTGTAAAAGCTGTATTTAAACAGGTGCTCCCGGTACCTCAAGTATGGAAGCTTGTTTGCTCGTAAGCATGGATAGCTTTTGGTGGTGAGGGAGAAGGACCCACAAGGAACTAGTGTGGTGTGGAGGTTAGAGAGTTGGACTAAAACCTGGGAGACCAGGATTCTAATCCCCACTCAACCATGGAACACACTGAAAGACCTTGAGCGTGTCGCTGACTCTCAGCCCTACTTACCTCACAGGGTTGTTGTCAGGATATAAAATGGGAAGGAAGAGAACCAGGCATAACAGCAACCTTGAGCTCCTTGGATGAAAGGTGGGATACAAATGTAAAAATAAAATGTGATAAATAAATAAGGGCATATTCACCTGTAGCCGAACCAGCAGAACTCTTGCATTTTTTAATCTGAAATCGCTTCACGGCTACTGGCTTCCCCTCGTACCGTGCCTGATATATAACCGTTCCGCTTCCTCCTTGGCCAAGAACAGTGTTTTCATTTTCAGTGTATTCTAGCTTTCTGTTTTCTAGAAACAGTCTGCCGGCCACATGCGTGAGAGAAGGGAAAAGAGACAGAGAGAAACCTTAGTTGTGTGCAAGAAGGCAACGTCAGGCTTTAAGATCACCCACATCACCTCCAAATTCTCTGGGAAAAGACAGCAAATGCTGTCCCCAGTCATGATGGGGCTTTGACCCCAGCTTTTTGCTGCCTAGAGCTGTGTCAAACAAAACATATTTCTTATTTGCTCTCTCACTCATGAGCCAAGCTGCATGATCAGTGGCCTCAAGTCCTCATGCAAATTCACATTTGTGTATGCCATGTATACATTTTTGCAAAGCGATTTCCCCTGAAATAATGCAATTTTGTATATTGTTTCCACCCGTTTCAGCACTTCTATGCACGCTTTACTCTAGTGTAAGAAATTTTCTTTGCACACAGGTGACTTGGCTGGAGAACTGCACTACCAAATTCGGAGAAGTGCAAAATTTCCAAGGACAGCTTTGTTTCGGTTTGTGTCATGTGTTTTGGAACATGCAAATTGGGTAGGTTCGCTTTTAAATTCAAAAATTGAATTTCTCCTCCATCTCTGCTTGCGGTACATATGCACAAACGAGTAAATCTGAGAAATTGACTACAGCAGAAAATGGTATGGGAACGAGAACTGGATATTGTAGCTCTGGGGAGGGAAAAAGAAAAGGGACATTAGTATTACCTGGCAGGGAAATCTGTCATGAAAAGCTCAGGGACCAGCTCCTGTAAAGGGACAGGTATGGCCGGGTGGTGAGCACAGGTGATGCTGTCTAGCTCAATGGCGGTTAGGACACAATCCTCCATGTTGAAGTATTGCATGTCTTCCGTTTCTTGGCTGCCTTTTCCTTCTTGACTTTTAGGGGTGGAACAGACTGGGCAAGGGACATATTGCTCCATTAACAGAGTCCCGTCGCTCTCTGTGGCTGTGAGTGCTGAGGAGGAATTAAGAAACATCATCATCAACATTGCTGCCCTTCCATAGATGAAACCATGCTCAAGGTGGCTTACAACATGAAAAGATTTATGTATATGCAACCCCTGTTTTGTGCACATGTTTTGTGGGCATTGCACATGTCGGTGGAGCGCGCATAAGCCCGCCACACCCCGTTATGCCCTCTTCTGGGTCTGAAAAGAACCTGCACATGCATGCTCGTGTGTTCAAAGTGCACAAAACGGGAAATGCCTGTAATTACGAAAGTAAAAACATAAATCAAACACCTTTCACTCAAATCTAACTGGACCCCATTGATGAGTCTGCAGCATGGGTATTTCAAGCTCCCAGAAAGGAATGTCTTTTTTAAGGGAATCACAATGGAAAAATTCACAGGACAGGACAAAGTCTTTTTATGAAATGAGTTCTCTGGTATGCACAGAGCTCAACCTCATAAAGGGAGGGCTTTGTGTTACACAGTTTGACATTTAAGTCAGGGCTTTTTGCTTGTAAAACAGAGCAAATTAGCAGAGCAGTTTCCTCTTTTTCAGTTTGTTTTTGCCAAAACTACATAATTGTGAAATAACAGACTTGGTGCTTAGTCCGATTTCATAGGGGATGCTTGTATTGGTTTTCATCCTTCACTTGCCTACAATTCAAATGCAAAACCTACACACTGACCAGAATTTGCATTTGATTTGAAAAATTGTTTTACACTCTACCCTGCATTAGCAACATTCATAAGCTATCATGATGGCCATCCAATTAAAGAAATCACAGGTCAATTAATCATGTGGATTTTAGCCAGCCAATTAAATGTCATGAATGTGTACACAAGCAAAAACAGTGGGTGGTCTCCAATGTTAGTTGCGTGGCGATACCCGCCCCCTCCCACAGATGAAAGAAATAAAGACACCGGACACCAGAATTAAGGTTGATGGGCGAAAATGGCCACAACTTTATTGATTACAGGTAAGAGCGGTATTGGCCTTAGGCATTGGCCCCTAACAGACTATCCGGTCTAACCGGGGAGGGTTAAGCACCAACAGGGGGAGCCCCCCAGATGTACATCCCTAGGCGCTCCCCAAGGGGTTACCGCTCGGGAGCGCGCTTTAGGCCCTAGCCTCCGTAGGTTTCGGACGAGGCGACGCCCCCCGGAGTCCTTTAACGAAATACCCTTCAAGATTTGGGGGAGGTGATGGCGATCCTCCCCCCCGACCTCATTTGCATAACAATACCCTGGCCAATGCCTAACCGCCAAAACCAAAGAGTTGTGACTTTTGCTACGAGGTAGGCGAAAAAACCAAGTGGCTTCAAAATTCAGCCAATTAGCCAAATGGAAAAACTCCTACCAGGCCCCTTGCGGCGACCAGCCGAAGCCCATAGCAAAGTCCAAATGCCTGCCTAAAGGGTGGGTGGGTGGGAAATCGCGGCTGCTGCAGAGGAGGAAAAGGGGCGAGCCCAGGCTGCCCTGACCTTAAGTGCCCCCCGGTAGCCCCGCCCCATTGGCTGGCACTGCCAGAATTGAATATGTATGAGATCCCTGGATCCCGCGGGGCTGGGCTAGCCCCGCGATAGTGCGGGTGGGGGCGCGCGCCCGCAACCCCCCCCCCGTAGCTCGGGAGTGGCTTTCTACTCAGAATAGGATTATTGAAAGCAATGACAAGACTATATTTAAGTTGCTGCTGCTGTTACTGTTCCGCTGGCTGCCAGGGCATGCATGCAGCTAATGCCCTCTCAGCCATCAAGGCACACACCCCAGAGGAGGCCACTCATTGGCCAATTTGAACTTCAGCAGCTGGTGGGAACTCAAGCCAACTGCCAAGGGGAATTCCCTCAATGGCTGCCTGTCCATTGCCCAGGATGACAACCTGGGCGGAAGGGGCAAGCATCGATTGTTCTTAATAATTTTTAAATGATTTTTATTAACATAATTTAATAGTACAGAATAATAAACAATTAACTTTATTCTATTTTTTAAAAAAGTAGTGTTTCAACAAACATTATTTTTATATCCCTGAGGATGTACTAATGTCAGAAAATCACTAGCCTGGAATCATTATTTGTTGGTCAGCAACATCTGATCGATTGCACAGTGAGATTAATTGACTGCTTAGTGAGATTAATTACTTATAAGACCTTTCAAACGGACTCTGATTAATTAGGCAGCAGATTTTATTTAAAAATATTGCTTTTGATAGTACTTATACAAAACAATCACCACCTTGTCGACAAAGGTCCGTATAGTTAAAGCTATAGTTTTCCCAGTAGCGATGTATGGAAGTGAGAGCTGGACCATAAAGAAGGCTGATCGTCAAAGAACTGATGCTTTTGAATTACGGTGCTGGAGGAGACTCTTGAGAGTCCCATGGACTGCAAGAAGATCAAACCTATCCATTCTTAAGGAAATCAGCCCTGAGTGCTCACTGGAAGGACAGATCGTGAAGCTGAGGCTCCAATACTTTGGCCACCTCATGAGAAGAGGACTCCCTGGAAAAGACCCTGATGTTGGGAAAGATTGAGGGCACAAGGAGAAGGGGATGACAGAGGACGAGATGGTTGGACAGTGTTCTTGAAGCTACCAGCATGAGTTTGACCAAACTGCAGGAGGCAGTGGAAGACAGGAGTGCCTGGCATGCTCTGGTCCATGGGGTCACAAAGAGTTGGACACGACTAAACAACAAAATACAAAACAATCATAGAAAATTGCACAACCAGCTTCTGATTCCCAAGGTGGCTTTAGATATGCATTTCATGAACATTTGTGTTTTCTTCCACTCTGTGGATCCAAGCCCTCCCATGCAGCATAGGGAACTAAAGGCTGTTCAAAGATCAGATTGTGAGATGTGGTATAAAACTGATCCACTCAATGGAGAATAAGTTGAAAACACCACCTTGGGTGCCCAGATCTTTAAGGATGCCTGAAGTGCAGCTCTTTGGGTTATAAGCCAACTTTTTCAGAAATAATTCTTACCTGGAAACCATTGGTCTATTAGAGAATTGACATGATCGGTGATGAAAGCCATTGCTGAAAAATCTCTCATGTCTGACTGGCAGATGATTTTAATGCCGCCGCTTTTCTTCTTCTTCCAGTTTACATTGGAAGACTCTACACTGCAAGGAGGAGAAACCCAAAAGATGTGCTTTTGAGAAAGGGACAGGAGAGAAGGATCATTACAGCAATTCCTGTTGAATTTCAGCTGCCTGGGGTCTTCCCCAGTGGAAGAGCACATGCTGCGTCTGAAGACGAGCCCAGATTCAACCCCTGGCATCTCCAGGTATTATCGTTATTGATTCACATCAATATAATTTGGACTCGTGATGGCCCAGCAACCCGATAGAACCCTGGAGGCAATCCTATATAGGCCCCGTGGCTCACCCTTTCTTTGTAAGCAGTATAATGGAAAGAAATCCAACATTTTAACATTTGAGATTGCTTTGGGTCTTGTGAGAAATGCCCCTGGTTGTACCTGCCGGGCCTCAACCATTACCTCAGGTAGCCTCCATCAAAGGTGACAAACAGCCCCTCTTGCCAGTAAATGGTGTGGTTCCTTTTCACCCTGAAAGTGCTGCATCTGTTGCGCTGTGTGCCTGTGAAGCTGTAGACAGCGGCTCTTTTATTCCTGCTCTTGCCCGTCTTCTTGTTTTCAACGAACTGGAATGTGAGAAAGAATTCAGAGAATCAGGTGCAAAGTCTTCTCAATCCGCAGGCATATGCTCTTGCTGCCAGTCACACATTTGCTAATTGGAATCAATAAAATGGCCCTAGCTAGGTGCAGAATGCCCCAGCTGTATCTTCAGGGATGGCTGAAAGAGACTGCTGCCCAAAACTCTGGAGTGCCATTGGCTACTCAAGTGTAAGGCAGTGCTGAGCCAAGCAGTCATAGGTCTGGTGTAGCATAAGGCAGCTGCTTAACTGCTATATATTTTGCATATTTGTCTGTTATGACCATTTGTTCTCTATGTGTTCAGATGCTTCTAGATAAATTGTTGCCGAGCTCAGCATGAAGGTCCCTGAGGTGAGGATGTCAGGCACCATTCTGAATCAAGCTGGTGGACCAAAACATGACTTTGGCAAGACTCCATCCATTTTTTGTGTGTGATTGGTCCAAACCCGCTAACAACAATATCCATTTAAAAAACACAGTAGTTTTGGGTTTCTAATAAATCCTGGGCAGCACTGGACACTCCCCGCTAGTGTTCTATACAGAGTGCAAATTTCCTCCTACGCATTGCAAAATATTTAAATATCATCTAAGAGGTTGTTTCCCAGGATGGAGAATGGAGAGGTGCATGCAGAAACTAGAATACTGTACAAAAGTAAGATTTACCTTTGTCGCCCCACCTACTTTTCTCTGGCCCCGCCCACCACTGGCATGTGGCCCCCCCAAAGGTCGCCCTGAGGTGAATGTGGCCCTTGGAATGAATGACCAATTTTCCATTTAATGTAACAGAGCTGGACTGCACTCTGCATAGCCACCATAGTCAGGAACGATGCTAAGCTATTTTTAGCATCAGTTGGTTTTTTTATTTTATAAAACTGCATATTCATAAGGAGCCTGATAAGCTCCTGCAGCCCCCTGGCATCATCCCTGTCATCAGCACTGATACAAATCAGCTGAACAATTTGATGCGATGACAGGATAACAACAAGATAACAAGATTGGGTGGGTAATTACACAGATTGCCAATGAAGTTAATACTAATGTAATCAGTGTGCCGAGAATTAAACTAGTGCCAAATGCGTCGCCGCTGAGAGTTTTAAGCAAAACAAACTGGTGGTGACAATCATATGTTGGAATAATCTTTGCGTGAGGATAAACAAAACAAAAGAAGTCTACTCCAACTTGTTAGCGCACATTCTAGAACTTGTGTCAGACTGCTCCCAAAATGCCTGTCATTGTGCAAGGTGAAGGGTGGGTATCAGACATGCATACGGCTTGTATATCGCAAGGACCCTTCAGGAGACAATGGGACCCCCATTAGGTAGTGTCTCGCTGCCCTGCCTTTCTTTCCACCCTTTCCCCAGAGGAGTAAGAGGGAACATAAGAGCCTGCTGGATCAGACCAATGGGCCATCTATTCCAGCATCCTGTTCTCACACAGCAACCATTCCCTTATATAGGGGATACAGTTGAGGTGGGCATAAATGTTGGAAATTTGGGTGCAACTCAGCTTGCAGAACACATATTGCGAGTTAAAACAGAGAGTAAGGGACCTTCAGATTCCTAGCCTACCTATGCAGATCTCTCTTTCCATTGAAATCTAGACTGATATGTCAAAGGATGCATCCTGTATACAACTTCCTCCTCCTCCTCCTTTATCAACACCTCGGGATGAGAGGTAATCTTGGGTTTATCCTTGGATAATAAAGGAGCAAGCACAACTTACTTTGTTTTCTCTAGATATAGTTAGTTAGCTCAGAACCAGAAACTTTTCTATCCTAGTTACGTGCTTGCTCTAATAACTAACTTGCTCATTTCTCTTTACCAAAATCTCCCTGTGTGATTACAACAGGTAAGTTCTACTCTCTGGCCAAATGTACAAGCCATATGCTGCATACCAAAGTGCAATAAATCTGCCCCATGGCCTTGACAACATATTTTCCAGAGTTTTCTCTCTGGCAATGCTTTTGCAGCTATTCAACCCATAATTCTTATTTTCTTAAAAAACCAAATTTAAATGGTGCTTTATGTTTTACAGTGTATACCACCTTGATATTCTATGATACAGTAGTATAGAAATCCTTTTATAAATGAATGAATGAATGAATAAATAAATAAATAAACTTAGTAAAGTCACTGAGAACTGAGCCCATAGCCCTTTGTGTGGTCTAACCCTGTGTTCTGTTTCTTGGTCACACTAGAGAGTGACAGAAGCTGTGGGAAAATGTACCAAGGTCTTTATCTGCTGGCTAGAACAAATTGCTTGGCTTGTATTTTTTGTATCTTTCTGATTTCACACATTTCACACAATAAAAGCTGTGCTGCATTAGCCCTAGGAGCAGCCATATTTCGGAACCTATCATGGTGTGAGACTGATTTTCCTCTGAATGCCGAGCTGCAACTCGACAAGAAGCAACATAGCACAAACAGGAAATGGCAGGTGGGCATTTTAGCAACAAATCTTGTCATGTAAGGTTTCATCGTACACCAGGAATATTTTCTAAGAAGGTTTTTTTTTTTTTTGCTGCTGTTTGCATCTACCTACCTGGAGGTCCATCTCTGCCAGACTTATGAGCATCCGGGCTATGAACCTCTGCCAAAAGCCAACGGGAACAAAACTCATCTTGAACACCCTCTGGATGGTGTTGGTTGTCTGATGGCGGAAGCCATGGATATCGAGGGCTGGCTTGGCAGGAAGCAGGTGGGGAAGGAGGTAACTGAAACCAAACAAAACGTTCAGATTCTGAGTTGTGGCTCTCAGAGCGACAAATGCCTTTGGCCTGCCTGATAGAACATGTTAGTTTTGCTGTCAACAGCACAGCCAAAACCATATACGTTTTAAACTTCCGGAGCAGCACAGGGTGGTACGATACTGTGGCTCTGGGGGCTGCTGCGTTTAAAATTATGCCATGGAAAGAGACAAGCAAGGAACAGACTTAGCTTAGAGGCTCGTCTGTTGGAATGGATTTTGAGTGCCGTAATAATGTGGGATGTTTGCGTCACTAACCAAAAAACGAACTCCCTTATTTTATTTTATTTTAAAAACACGATCAGGTGCTGAAAGATTTGTTGATTTCCCTTAAGCCCAGCAATGTGCCGAGGTAAAAATGGGCTCATGGGAAACTTCTAATGAACCAACAGCTACTTCAGGAACCTGTTGCCATAGGCATCTTTACCTGTGCAGTTTTATAAAGGGTAAAGGGGACCCCTGACCATTAGGTCCAGTCGTGGCTGACTCTGGGGTTGCGGCGCTCATCTCGCTTTATTGGCCGAGAGAGCCGGCGTAGAGCTTCTGGGTCATGTAGCCAGCATGACTAAGCCGCTTCTGGTGAACCAGAGCAGCGCACAGAAACGCCGTTTACCTTCCCGCTGGAGTGATACCTATTTATCTACTTGCACTTTGACGTGCTTTCGAACTGCTAGGTTGGCAGGAGCAGGGACCAAGCAATGGGAGCTCACCCTGTTGTGGGGATTCGAACCACTGACCTTCTGATCGGCAAGTCCTTGGCTTTGTGGTTTAACCCACAGCACGACCCACGTCCCTGTGCAGTTTTATACTTCCTGATAAATTCCCTCCATGGGACTTGGGTGGAAGAGATTAGGCTACTGTCCTCAGAACACCTCTCAGACTTGGGAATCTAAGGATACCATTTCTTCCTATGGGCATAAAAATGTAAGGCGTCATCACACACTTGTGTTTGATTGGCCACCAATAGGAGGACACCCCAACTGCAGCATGAGGAATGGTTGGACGGCCTTGGTCAGTTGTTTAATGGAGGGAGGATGGACCTCGAATTTATTTATAGATAAATAAACTGCACATTTGGCCATAACAGCATCAAAGTGCAGGGGCAAATTTAACTCTGTGCTTGAGAATCAGCTGCTTGTAAATGGCTCGGAACATTCCAGAGTACATTTCTCAGCCGACAGCAGCTTTCGCCCTCCCCTTCTTGGCCAATGACAGGGTTGCAATTCCGTCAGGCAATCTAGACGGTAATTGCTAGCAGCCTGTCAGAGGTAACTAACCATAGAAACGGTGTCAATAAATGGCAACAAGATTTGCCTGAAGATGCAGCAAAATTAGGGGGGGGCTTGAAGAGAGTGCTGAGGGGCCAAGGGACAATGGAATAACCTGTTTCCCTGCGGGAATTGCCTTTGCAGAAGAGAGAGAGAAGCAAGCCTACAAAGAAATCTAAATGCTTCTGAAGCACAGATAAGCTGCCAGCTTCATGGGTGTCAAGCAAAGCTTTTGTTTTTTAATTCACAGAGGCTCGTTATGTCAGCATTTAAGAACTCCTTTCCCCAGGACATCTTCTGGCACAGATCTTCCCAAATTCCTTTTGGTTGGACCCAAAGGTCTAAGGCCCAATTTCCTCAGCAGAAACAATGGCTGGTATGTCTTTCACGAGAGCAAGTTCCTTGTAATTATTTTTAGAAACTCTCCGGAACAGACAAATCTGAGGGATGTGTGTGCATGTGTGTGTCTGGGATAAGGACATGATCCATCAGTTCAGGTGAGAACCTTAGCAAATCTAACCAACTTTCCTCATGCTGCCTGCTAATACATTGTTATGAGTTTGGAGGGGTTTTTTTGGGGGGGGGATCAGTCTGGATGACGCCTTGGTTCCCTTCCAGGGCATGTTTAGAATCTAGTAGAAGAGCCCCCTAAAAGGGCCAGACAAGTTTCTTGGGAAGATAATGGCTTTGACTGGCCAGCTTACTGCTATTTACCATATGCAAAGAGGTCTGCTCTGTTGCCATAGTGACAAATGGGCAAGCTTTTGCCCACCTTACTTGGCTGAATGCCACTTCATCCTAGGATGAAGAACAGGCCAAGAGGGGCTGTGTATGTGACAGCTGTGAGTTTTGGCTGATGCCGGAAGACCTAGACTCATCTTGCTGTGTGCTGGAAACCTAATGGGGAAACCAGATCTATGGTTAGTGTTAATGCTGTGAGTCCCTCCATCCTATGCTCAGGTTGTATATGTGTGTAAATGAAACTACATACCATAGAATCATGGAACTGGAAGGTACCCTGAGGGTCAACCCCCTACGATGCAGGAATGTCAACTACAGCATCCACACTTGACAAAAGACACCAGTGTCTCTGTCACAGTTCAAGGACGGGGCAGAGCAGAGCTGGTGGGGTCTGATAGTGGCCTGACCAGGGTTTTCCCCAGACCAGAGCTGTGAGGGATGCAGGGAACATCACTGCCCTGTATGTTGCAACACTTCCATCACCAAATCATAGAAAGAGCTGGATGAGACCCTGTGGGTCATCTAGTCCAACCCCCTGCAATGCAGGAATCTCAGCTAAAGCATCCATGACAGGGGCCATCCAACCTCTGCCATCCAAATTGAATCCAAAGGGTTTGGACACAAAAGGGTGGTATTCAATTCAGTTTTACTCAAAGGAGACCCAGAGATAGCAATGAACATGACTATGCAAGGGCCGTTAATTTCAATAGGTCTGCACTGAGTAAAGCTTAGTTGAAGGCCATCCAAAAGCCAGCACCTGACATGCACACTTTGGAGTTTGTTGCGCCAACACCTGCAACAAACACCTGAGGCCACCTCTCTCTGGCCATATCCGCACTATAAAGCACAGTGATAACACTTTACCAGCCATGGCTCCCCGCTAAGAACCTTGGGAACTGTAGCTTGTCAAGAGTGCTGAGAGTTGTAGGAGACCCTCTCAGAGCTACAATTCCCAGAGTGGTTTAACCATCAATACCACAGGGAACTGCAGCGCTGATTGACATAAAGGGAACATCTATGAGGGCAATAGGGGGCTCCTGGCAACTCTCAGAACCCTTGATGAACTACAGTTTGGGGGGGAGGAAGTAACGACTTTTAAAATGGTATCATGGTGCTTTAAATGTATGGTGAGGATGTGGCTTGTCTCAGTTTGTCTCCAACTGCCTGAATTAGCCACGCCCCGGCGACAATTACCAGTGTACCTGTTGTTGGCTACCGGCAGTGCAATTTCAAACTTGGCAAGGAACTGGAAATACTGTTCCTCCGTCTGTGTGGTGAACCCCGTCCCGACCAGCAGCATCCGGAGGTCCTCCGCTTTGATCACACCGTTCTTCGCAACCGACTTTGAGCTTTTGATGTTGAAGATCCTTTGCAGGCACTCCGACAGCCAAACCGGGTCGAGGAAATAAAGGTTTCTCAATCCGTGGCTCGTGTCTGGGAAGTGGAGCAGTGTCCCTGTTTCGATCAGGAAATTGATTGCTGCGGAGAAAGGAAGGCGCCAGGTAAGCTATGAGCACAGGAAGGAGGTTTATCAACCTCTCCACTGGGCTGTATTCAACTTATCCGCAAGCTCTGAAAGTCTGATTCTGGAAAATATAAGAGGCATTGGGGGGCTGTAGGAAGGGCTGCAGCTCAGCGTTACGGCAATCCCTGACATCTCTTCAGAAGAGACTCCTGTCTGAAATCCTGCAGAGCCACTGCCAGACCATGTAGATCAGGGTTTCCCAAACTTGGGTCTCCAGCTGTTTTTGGACTACAACTCCCATCATCCCTAGCTATCAGGACCAGTAATCAGGGATGATGGGAATTGTAGTCCAAAAACAGTTGGAGGCTCAAGTTTGGGAAACCCTGGTGTAGACTGCTGGTCTTCAGCGTTGAGTCCCTAGTTGTTGTTGGCCTACAACTCCCATCACCCCTGACCACTGGGCTAAGGTGGCTGGGGTTGATGGGTCCAGCAGCATCTGGGGATCCAGCGTTGAAGAACGCTGGTGTAGATGATACTGAGCAAGGTGGACCAATGGTCTGTTTCAGTATAAGGCAGCTTCCTATGCTCCTATGACTGACATCAATGCAGGGTTTCCCATGATTAGTTATCCAGCTGACCACATGAGAAAGCTCTTTGGGTAAGTAACTGAAGCCACCATGGCTTCTCCACCAACTCTTTGAATGGCTAATAACACTCCTGTGGATTATCTTAGTGGTCAAGCTGGGAAATAATGTTTCAGGCAGTCCTTTTGTAAATTCAGGGTGATGCATCCTCAAGCAAAGTGTATGCACACAAGAAAAGACACACATACACAAATACCGAACATGCTGGTTTCCAATAAGTTACTACATGCAGGCATACCAGATTGCAAGTCCTCATAGTCTTTGATGTCATTGCCTCGAGTGTTCTCTACAATTTGCTCTATTTCCTTGTCTGTTAGATACTGTACGTTGTCGTTTTGACTTCTGTTCAGTTGTTCAGCTATGATGGATCCTTGGAGGCTCAAGTAACTCCTTGGGATCTGTTAAATTACATTGAAAATCAATTATGCTCTGAACGCCGTGGCTCTGTTCATTTGTATTTCATTTATTCATTTGAGCATTTCATTTATTCATTTGAGGATTCAGAAACCAATTCCCAACAAATCTTTCTGAAGCAGAATATGCAACCGAGAGGGGGAAATGGTGAATAAAGAAGGCATCGTTTTTCATTCTGCCTCACTTTCTTCATCAGCAGCAGTGTTTCCTTTCCACTGCAGTATGCCTTCTGCCAAGAAAACGTTACTCTTGTCACTGTCCATTGTGACAAAATTATATTACTTACATTAGTTATAATGTCACTAAATTATTCTGTCCTAATCATTACAGGATGATCATATTTGCTGCACTGACTTAAGTTCTGGATATGGGACGAATAAGTGAACATTGGCAATTTCCGCTGCTCCTTTCGTTGGAATTCTCTGATATGGAGAAGGGATAGAGAAGTTTCCTTCTGCTGCTATAATTCAACCAGAAACATTGCTGCCCCCATTTACATGAGAATGAGGTTACACCACAGTTCTGTGCAGAAGTAAATTGATGCATGAGCAGGTCTACGCTGAGCAGCCTGCACCAAGCTACCAACCTAGGGGGGGTCTTCCTTGCTCCCACCTCCAATCCGAAAGTCTGTGCATTTGGTGCAAACTTCTGCTACAAGGAAACCTTCACAGGTATAAGCTGATGTTTGTGACATCAGGGGTGAAACTAGAGAGTGCAGCCCCCACTTAAACATTGATCAACATATTGCTTCTGAACCATATTAAAGCTAAAGGACCCCTGGACTGTTAAGTCCAGTAGAATTTGACTAAGGTGTGCAGCGCTCATCTCCACTTTCAGGCCAAGGGAGCCAGCGTTTGTCCACTGACAGCTTTCCAGGTTATGTGACCAGCATGACTAAACAGCTTCTGGAGCAATAGACGAGTGCCAGAGCGCATGAAAACGCCATTTACCTTCCCACCACAGTGGTACCTATTTATCTACTCGTACCGGTATGCTTCCAAACTGCTAAGTTGGCAGGAGCTGGGACAAAAAAACAGGAGCTCACCCCGCTGCATAGATTCAAACTGCCGACCTTACGATCAGCAAGCCCAAGAGGCTCAGTGGTTTAGACCACAGTGCCACCCACGTCCCCAGTATGAAAGAACAGAAGAAGAGTCCTGCTGCATTGGGCCAATGACCCATCTAGTCCAGCATCCTGTTCTCACAGTGGCTGACCGGATGCCTGTTGGAAACCCACAAGCACAAGACCACCTTCCCCTCCTGTACTTTCCAGCAACTGGTATTCAGAAGCATTACTGCCTCTAAGGCAGTGTTTCCCAACCTTGTGCCTCCAGATGTTTTTGGCCTACAACTCCCATCATCCCTGACTAGCAAGACCAGTGGCAAGGGATGATGGGAATTGTAGGCCAAAAACAGCTGGAGGCACAAGGTTGGGAAACACTGCTCTAAGGTATGGAAGCAGAGCACAGCCATCACAGCCAGTAGCATTTGTTCTGAATAGGGCTCATACGGGAAACCTTTAACCATCCAAAGCTGACGTGGTCTTCCACTGCAGGGAAAGGTACGCACCAATCTCCCGACGAGTCTCTGTGAGCAAATAGAACTCCCAACGTCCTTCATATGGCAAGTGATGGTGTAGATCAGCTGGCGCAGCCCATCCAGGCCTTCCAGAGTCCTGCAGGAGAGCTCACTGCAAAGAGAAACCACGAAGATTACTCAACCAAAGGGCTGTTTCTCCACACTGCCGTTTTCACCATCTGCCTGCCATTCCATTCCACCACTCCCCTTGAAGAGAGGAGGGCTGCTGAATTCAGGTCACACTTGCAGGCTTAGCATAAACATCTGGTTGGCCATTTTGAGAAAAGGATGTCGGACTAGATGGGCCTTTCGCCTGATCCAGCAGAGCTTATCTTACATTCTTAGGAAGTACATGAGGAGACGGCAGCAGAGGATAAAGAATCAGGGCTGCTGGGACTTGACTGGGCTTTAGAAGAAGGTTCTGAAAGAAGCCTCAGTCAAGTTCGGAGGACAATAGTTTGGAGCGGAATTTTCCTAGAGACAGAAGATACAAGTCTTGCTCTGTGATGGTGAGTGGGCCAGCGAAGTTGCACGTTTAAGTGGGAAAGGCTTTCCGAGAGAGAAGTCAGTCTACACAGGCTACACAAGCACAAGACGCTGAACTCATAATACAATACAACTGAGTTGCAAAAAAGAAAAAGGGGTTTGGCCAAGGCACTGGTGAGTCTGCAGCAATATATTAGCATCAAGAACGCAAAGAATCTGTACTAAGGATGCTGTACTTGGGCTGCAAGTCTCCTAGCTGGTAAGAATTGCTGTTGGACCCAATTCATTTACTGCCTAAGTACCACAAGCATGGCTGTAACCATGGTAGTATTCTGATTCTGTTTAGGGAAGTTTTTAATATTTAATGCTGTATTGTTTTTAACACTTGATTGGAAGCTGCCCAGAGTGGCTGGGGAAACTCAGCCAGATTGGCGGGTATAAATAATTAATATTATTATTATTATTATTATTATTATTATTCAGTCTCCAAGTGGCTGGGTCATCAGAGCCAGCATCAATATAGCTGGAAAGAGGTGGCTGGCGAGTCAATGCAAGCTGCAACCTTATCCCAATTTATTGGTTTTATGTACTAAACACTGCAGAGAGTTTGCTGCATTTACAATTTGGGGTGGGTGGGAGAATGTGATATCATACTTACTGTAAGTGTTTCATTGTGATGTCCGGGAAGCCAGTGGCTCTTGGGCCAGAAGGAGATCGACACAGAGCCAGGACATATGCTCTCAGGGTGGCGATCCGTTCAACGCGGAATTTAGTTTCGATCAAGTCAAGGTGTGTCCCCACTACCAGCACAACTGAATTTGGAGCCTTGGCCTAGAAAGAATTTTTAATTTTTATTTGGCCCAATAAAGCTTCACCGGGTTCAAATGCAAGGTGACCTGTTTATTGAGCATCCGTCCCAATTCCTTTGCACAAAGCTTGTACAGAAATTTTATATCCTCTCTTTTATTGCATATTCATTCTGATTTGTTTGCAGGAGAAAAGTAGCATATTTTTTTAGGACTAGGGCAGATCCACACTATATATTTGAAGTACATCCAATGCACATTTAAAGCATGTTATTCCCCCCAAAGCATCATGGGAACTGTAAGTCTGTGAGGGGCAAACTACAGCTCCCAGGATCCTTTGGGGGAAGTCACATGCTTTAAATGTGTGTTGGATGTGATTTAAATGTATGATGTGGACCTGGCCTTAGTCACTCTCATTGACTTGTCCATAAGACTGGATTACATCCATCAGAACTTGCTCATCCTTGACACAGTAAGAAATCAGAAGGAAGAGAATAGGACCTCCTGGCTCTAACATGTGCAGGCAAATGTTTACAAGAGGAACACTGCCACTCTCAGTTGCATTTCTTGCAGACTGAAAGTGTTTAAATACATATTTGTGAAGTAAACAGTTGGCGTACATGAGGTCCAGAGAAAGTCTGCATTCAGTCCAAAGTGATTAGAATTTCAAGATGGAACAGTAAAAGTGAGTGGTGGTTTTAGCCAAGGCTGTGTACACATTAGTGTTTACTTCGGCTTCCAGTGTGCTCCCACCGCTGGTGTATGAAGTAGAGTACACAATCAATATACCCTGAAGTCTTTTGACAAATGTTCCAAGGGTTTTCTCTCAAACCAGCTTCCAGCCGATTTCAAAACCTAAGCTGCAGTTAAGCTGAGGTGTGTACATTTCAGATAGCCACTGCTTAGATGACAGCACATGCTCAGATGACAAGCTTCACTGAACTGGCGTTTGGAGAAGTTGCACAAATAGGGAAACAAATCAGATAATGTGCGTCAGGGGAAGACATCTCCACCTCCTCTCTGGCATGTACGGTGACATAAAACATGTGACTTGAAACACAAGGAGAACAGTTTCCTCCATTTTGTTTCAAGTCACTTCACAGCATTTCAAGCTGCTAATGCATACATAGCCCTAAAGTCTTATTAATGAAATTCTAACACTAGTCTGCACTACCTCCACTGGTACACTGGATTCTCCCACCAGTGCATAAAGAGAGGTCCTGCAAGGCAGTAGTGACGCCTTACTCACCTCAATATTTAGCAACCAGAACTGAAGATTTTCAACAGCTTCTTCCCCCAGTGCCAAGTTCCAGACGACGACATACAATGCCTTATCTGTGAAGAAACACTGATTGACTGTCGACATACTGGCAGGGCCTCCAATATCCCAGACGTTAAACTCAACTGAATCAACCTAATTGGACAAAGAGAAACATTGAAAGAGAGAGACAACATCCATAGCGGTTAAAAGTAAATCACATGGAGATAATAGTCAATGCATAATAAACTCGTGCACCGCCCCTCCCTCCCGCAAAGTAGCTTCATAATGTTCGACAGTAGGGTATCAATGGGTATTCATGCTCCAGCTGAAGAAAGAAGGGCTTGTCAAGGGCGGCTATCACTTCCACAGGAAATGTAAGCTAATTGCTCACTGCTAAGGCAGGCGTCATCTGCCGAGACTGGGGAAGAAGCAGTGCTCTCGTTCCTTCATTAAATCAATTGGCCCTTTTCTGTCTCTCAGGAGCGCACGGCTAATTTTGGCTGGGAAGGGCCCTTCTCCTTTCCTTCATATGTCAGGGGAGAGGAACATTATTGACATCAACCCACACCCCACTTCCCTCAGACCAGCCAGTACGGTGAAGGCGGTGAAGGTCCTGTGTGAGTGTCTGGAGGCGGTTGGAGGATGGATGGCGGCTAACAGATTGAGGTTGAATCCTGACAAGACAGAAGTACTGTTTTTGGGGGACAGGAGGCGGGCAGGTGTGGAGGATTCCCTGGTCCTGAATGGGGTAACTGTGCCCTGAAGGACCAGGTGCGCAGCCTGGGAGTCATTTTGGACTCACAGCTGTCCATGGAGGCACAGGTCAAATCGTGTCCAGGGCAGCTGTTTACCAGCTCCATCTGGTACGTAGGCTGAGACCCTATCTGCCTGCGGACTGTCTCGCCAGAGTGGTACATGCTCTGGTTATCTCCCGCTTGGACTACTGCAATGCACTCTACGTGGGGCTACCTTTGAAGGTGACTCGGAAACTACAACTAATCCAGAATGCGGCAGCTAGACTGGTGACTGGGAGCGGCCGCCGAGACCATATAACACCGGTCTTGAAAGACTTGCATTGGCTCCCAGTACGTTTCCGAGCACAATTCAAAGTGTTGGTGCTGACCTTTAAAGCCCTAAACGGCCTTGGTCCAGTATACCTGAAGGAGCGTCTCCACCCCCATCATTCTGCCCGGACGCTGAGGTCCAGCGCCGAGGGCCTTCTGGCGGTTCCCTCATTGCGAGAAGCAAAGCTACAGGGAACCAGGCAGAGGGCCTTCTCGGTAGTGGCGCCCACCCTGTGGAACGCCCTTCCAGCAGATGTCAAAGTGATAAATAACTACCTGACATTCAAGAGACATCTTAAGGCAGCCCTGTTCAGGGAAGTTTTTAACATGTGATATTTCATTGTATTTTTGGTTTTTATGGAAGCCGCCCAGAGTGGCTGGGGAGGCCCAGCCCATTTTACAAAAGAACAAAATCTGTTGGTGAAGCGAAGCAGGACTGCCTAACATCTGTTCAGATAAAGGTAGAAAGATGCTCAAGGTGTGAAAGGAGATGCCTGAGAAAGGAATTTTTACACAGAGAAACATATATTCAGGCTATAATCTGCAATGACCTAGCTTGAGACAAGTTTAATTGATGGCTGCCTAGCCTGTAGGAGTATGCCCCAGCTTTAAGATCAGCTTCTGAGGCCCTGCTCCCTGGTCTGTTGACAAGAGATGTTGCAATGAGGGGAACCAGGAGCAATACTTTATTGGTGGCAGTTCCATGTCTGTGGAACTCTCCCCCCTTGAAATATACGTGGCTGTATCACTGTCAGTTGTAAGAAACAGCTACTACTTGAGTCATACGGCACTTTAATCTGCATTGTATTAACCACTGGCCCTGTTCATTTTTGAGAGATGCAATGTGGTTTTGATTTGACGATGTTATGCATTATTGTGGTTTATTGTGGAATTTCACACACTCTGCTGTGAGGGCACCTGTGCTCTGAAGGGTGTTTTATTTTGACATCTTAATCTAAATATAAATAAATACATAAGCCAAATTAATTTCCATCTGGATGCCCAGATTCTGGAGTGGCTTCAAGTCAGAACTGGCCCTAAGCTTGCAGCGATGACATCTTCACCATGCTGCAGGGCTGAGAGGCCTCAAAAGGCCGAGCCCAATTCAGAGTGGATCCAGATGACAGGACTAAGGGTCCTATCCAAAATGCCCCAGAGCGGCAATTCTATGTCCAGCAAAATGAGTGGAACAATGAGGAAAAAAGCAGATACAGATCTTCTCTTTCTCTCCAGGCCTATTTGTCTTCCAGGTTGAGGGGGAGAGGGCAGAACAAGTGTGCCAACTCCATCTCTATTGCCATCCTTGTTGCCCTCTGTGAGTAGAAGGATGACCTGAGCCATGGAACCTTCTTAAAGTGTTTGCCTTCAGGGTCAGTTCAACGCAAGAAAGGGAAAAGTGGGGATGATAATGATGATGATGATGATGATGATGATAACAACAACAACAACAATAATTTTATACCCCGCCCATCTGGCTGGGTTTCCCCAGCCACTCTGGCCAGCTCCTGACAGAATATTAATATTAATAATAAAATGATAGAACATCAAATATTAAACACTTTCCTAAAAAGGGTGGCCTTCAGTTGTTTTCTAAAAGTCAGATAGTTGTTTATCTCCTTGACATCTGATAGGAGGGCATTCCACAGGGCGGGCACCAATACCGAGAAGGCCCTCTGCCTCGTTCCCCTTGGCTTCACTTCTCGAAGTGAGGGAACCGCTAGAAGGACCTCAGAGCTGGACCTCTGTGTCCGGGCTGAATGATGGGGGTGGAGACACTCCTTCAGGTATCCTGGGATGAGTGCATTAACTCCATTTAATGCCATCCCCATCACCCTCCACAAATTTGAGAGCAACAGGGACTGTGGCAGAGGGCCCAGCTAGCATGCTTGTCCCTGTTCTCACCCTCACATTTTGACTTGACTCAGAAAACAACTGCCTTGAATAGGGCACCCCTCTCTCATAGTGCTAGAATATGTGTGTGTGTTTGTGTGTGTGACCCAATGAAATTGATTGGCAATGGATTTGGAGTGGACAAAAGCAAGTGCTTCTTCAAACAACACATTCCTAATTTATGGAATTCAGTGACAGAATATGTGGCAATGGTCACTAGCTTAGGCAGCTTTAAAGGTTGCAGACACGGAAACAAATCAGTTAATAAGCACTGGGTTAAGACATCCATGCCTCTTTATGGTGGTTGGATCAAGTAAAAGAGGATAGGAGTATCAAATCGGCTATTGGCCTAGAGCAGGGGTAGGCCTTCTCAATCCAGCCCATGGACGGTCTGGGAATCAGCGTGTTTTTACATGAGTAGAATGTGTCCTTTTATTTAAAATGCATCTCTGGGTTATTTGTGGTGCATAGGAATTTGTTCATTCCCCCCCCAAAAAAAAATACTGTCTGGCCCACCACATGGTCTGAGCCCACGGCTGAAAAAGGTTGCTGACCCCTGACCTAGAGGGCCACACAGAACTTCCATGTTCAGAGGCAGCCTATCACTGAATACCAGTTGCTAGAAAGGCAACAGAAAAGGAAGCTGGAAGCTTCATTGAGCTTTGTGGAAAACATAGTTTTTAAAATAAAAAATGCAATTTCTTCTTTCAGTGGGGCAAAAAACCCCTGCTGATATCATGGCATCACAGTGGGGTACCCAAAGGAGCATTCAAAACATTTTAAAATGTTTTAAAATTACAAATTTTGGGAGTATCTTGGGATGCCACAAACATGTGTTTGGAGGGGTGAATATGTCCCGTATACCAGGCCCCCGCCGTCTATCTATAGTCGTACCTTGGTTTTCAAACGTCTTGGGAGTCGAACGCTTTGGCTCTCGGATGATCAAAAACTGGAAGTGATTGTTCCAGTTTTCGAATGTTCTTTGGAACCTGAACATCCGACGCAGCTTCCGTGGCTTCTGATTGGCTGCAGGAGCTTCCTGCAGCCAATCGGTAACTGCGCCTTGGCACCCAAATGTTTTGGAAGTCTAATGGACTTCCAGAACGGATTCTGTTTGACTTCCAAAGCACCACTGTATTTGGTTTGTCCCTTTGACAAGGAGGAAGCCTTGCCCTGCCCTGCCTTGAGCTAGACACTCCAAGTCTAAGCTTTGTTTTACCTTTGATTTACCTTTGATTTGAGTCCAGCCGGTCTCTGAAGCTCCCACTTCGTGGTCTGGATGGTGCCGTCGCTGGGCATCGAATGGGAAGCTTTCCCCGTCTGCAGGATCTCAATCAGTGTGGACTTGCCCTGGCGCGGAGGACCCACCACAATCATTTTCATCAGGTTGCATTTCTCTGCTTTGCGTAGCTGGGCTCGCAAGTAAGCTAAAATGGTCTTGGGGCCTAGCAAGTGAAGGGGTAGAAAAACTGCTTAACTGATCACAGCAGTATAAGAGGGATTTGCAAGGATTGTTTTAACACACCTTGAATTAAAGAGCACGGGTGGGGACAACAATTCCCAATTCAAATAGAAATGTTTTTAACGAGGAAGCAAATAGCCTTTGGGGCTGATTAGGCTGGATTAAAATGATGGGGGTGGGAGGGAAATCTCAAGTGGATGCTCTAACATGACCTTTAAAAATGAACATGAATGCGTACTTAATTCATCCAGGCCAAGGAACTGTAATTTCTAATTGTGGACTTATTTATAAAAGTATTTTTATGCTGCCACATAGGGGTAGGGGAGAAATTTGATTCAGTTCACATTTAAATGCAAATCTATCAAATGCACCCTTTCCGAAACAATATGAGATCCAAAACACAGCCATCCTTTGAAACCCACACTTATTCACATTTTGCAATGCAGCTCTCCAAACAAAACAATGTGTACAGAAATGCAAATATCAGGTACATGTGCGCGTAAAAGCGATTTCAGTGAAAGCAACATGCAAAAATGCATTACATCAGGAGAAACAGCTTTGAAAGAAATGCGTACGTTAGTTCAAACCAGTCTCCTCCATCCCTAACCACCATATTGCTGATATGTCACTTTTAAAAACACTTTCACAGAAATAGTCAGACAAAAGATAACAGTGCAAAATAAAACATCCATAACCACATCAGCAGCATCCCTAAAAGTGCTGCTGCACGTGTGACACAAAATATGTGCAACACAAAAGGGACCTTTGTGACCTACCTCATGACAGAAAAGGGTTGCCCTGAGAACAAACTGATCAAGTTAAATTTGGATCGCATGGAAAGGTTTACAATTCCACTTTCTAACAACTGCACCCTGGAGAGATTCCACCCTGTTTTCTCCACCATTCAATAATAAATTCACCCAGGCTGGGTTTGGATTCTCTCTCTGTTCAAACAGCTGATATTAATAAAACCACAGGGAGGAAGCAGACTCACCCTCTTTTCTGATCTCTGCAGGGAGGTTGCCAATATTTAGCTCTTCAATATCCAGCTGCCAAAGATTAACCAGTTGGCCAAGTTCAGGAGGAAGTTCTTGTATGCCGGTGTTACTGCACAAAAAAAACAAATAAACACACCCATCCACCAATCAACAGCCTTCCTTGAGAGGGGTATCTACATGATGGTGGCCACCAAATTTTGACAAATGCAAACATTTGAGGTGAAACGTAAAGGGCTCCAGCTTGGGTAAACCTTTAAAGAATTCCATTGGAAAGAAGTGGTCGAACAAATGAAATTTCATGGGGTTTGGGGGCCACATAGAAAGCATTAATGTAAATGTGTTGGCCAACCTGCCCCTTGCCTAACTCTGGATGTCCTGTTAAATAAAGTTCAAGGCAGGTGAGGAAATTTCTGGAGGAATGGGCAAAACCAAGAATTACCACCCATTTTCACCTAAAAGTGAAATTATGTTTGCTTTACATCCCACTCTTCCACAATGAGCCAAAGGTGGCACAAGTAGTTCTCCTTCACTCCGTTTTATTCTTTTTACCTCACAACAAATCTATCAGGCAGGTTAGGCCTGGCCCATGGTCAGATTCTGATTGGCCGAAGGTCACTCAGTGAGCTTCATGGCTGAGGGCTGAGTTGAACCTGTGAGTCCCCAGTCCTAGAGTTGTTGGAGGCCCTTGTTCCCCCTCACAGAACTACAGTTCCCAGGGTGGTTTAACAACCAACCCCTCACCACATGGAACCCTGGGAACTGTAGCTCTGCAAGGGAACAGGGGCCTTCTAATTACTCCCAGAATCATAAAATTATAGAGTTGGAAGGGATCACGTAGGTCACCTAGTCCAACACCGTGCAATGCAGAAATCTTTTTTCCCCCAACGTGAAGCACGAACCCACTACTCTGAGATTAAGAGCCTCATGCTCTACCAACTGAGCTCTCAGCACCTTTAACAAACCACAGCTCCCAGAATTCTTTAGGAGAAGCCATGACTGTTCAAAGTGGTATCATAATCCTTTAAATGTTCTGTGTAAATTAAGCCCTAGTCAGACACGCTGACTAATGGGAGGGCAATCTTTTTTCTTTTTGCAAAGTGCCGCAGTCCCCCTCAGAAATAATCTGTTGAAATATACTCGGAGTCGAGTGTGAATTTCATGGTCTGTATTCAGCTCATAGTAGCAATGAATGAAACTTTCCCCAAAACATCTAGCTATATATACATTATTTACACAATAGGCCCTGCATAATTGGTTAATTCCGGGCTGCTCCTGTAGGCCAATCAGGTTGCGGATTCACCTCCTCCAGAAGCCTGATTGGCTGCTCCTGCAAGCCAATCAGGTCACTGATTCACTTCCACCAGGAGCTGGATTGGATGGCTCCTGCGGACCAATCAGACTGCTGCATTCTGGGTCCTTTTATTCTAGGATTCAGCTCAGTACATAACATCTGCCAAGGGCCAGAGATGTGCAAGGCCAGAGGGAGGAAAGTGGGCAAGGTCAGCCCTTTTCCTCTCTCTCCTCCAGCAGTCAGTCAGATATCTCCTAAACTGGTCACTTGAAATTAGACCAAGAGGCACAAGCACCACACTGCCTCTGCAGAGCAGAGGATCAGATGAACCATTGAAGGATTGTCAAGTGATAGCAGCAAGAGCTTCCATGACACCAGCCACCTTTCCCACAGTTCATGATACCTGAACTTACTTTCCCAAGTAAAGCTCCGATAAGCCTTTCAGAAGGCAGACCGACTGTGGGATGGAGTCTAGATGGTTGTCATTGAGACACAAGACTTCCAGAGACTCGCACAGGAATTCAGGAAACTCCAAGTTGGAACCTGGGGAGGGGGAAAAAGCCGAACAGCAAGCAAATGTGGAAGATGAATGCAGAAGTATGAAGGTCGCGGGCAGTTTGTTTGTTTAACAGAATTTTATTTAGCCAACAGAATTTGCATGCCGCTTAGCTGTAACAATGTCTAGGTGGTTGATGTAAACTAAAACATATGTTTTATGTAAACTAAAACAGAATACCTGGGTGGTATTCAATTAAGTTCTACTCCAGAGCAGCCCACTGAAATTAATGAACACATGGCTAAAATTAGGGCCATTCATTTCAGTAGGTCTACACTGAGTAAAACTTAGTTGAATACTATCCATTGAAATTGTTGACAAAAGCTGAGAGTTAAAAACAAGTTAACTTTTGTGTGTGCAAAATATAGACAAAAACCAGCAGTTTAAAATATATGCATAATAAAATTACATATTGAAACACGTATCATCTTTACAGATCTGGGTAGACAAAAAAGGATTTTAGCAGGCTCCAGAAACAGTACAGCAAGTTGTTTGAACTGCCATAAGGCACCTTCCTATGTTATTTATTTTTTTGTCAATCATAGTGTTCATTACAGTCGACTAGCCAATAAAAAAAGCGCAAAACATATAGGGTTGTATTGACTGGAATGCTAAGTTAACCTCACTTAACTTGTTCACTTGTTCCTCTGGTGAATTTTTTTGCATTGGTGGAACGATGTAGCACAAGCAAATACATAAGCAGGTGATGGGTAACTTAGCTGGATATAACCCTAAAGCAGAATGTCAGTAGCACTAATTAATTACTGATACTGACAAGGTAGGAACTAATTTATCATAACTGGTCTGAGAGAAATGACATGTTGCCTCAGATATGTTCCCACCTGTTCGGTAATAGATCAGTCTTCTCAAGGAAGATACACAAAAGAACATTTATGGAAAGACCAGGAAACTGCCTCAAGAGAGGATAAACGATGCATTCTCTAACCCCTTGATAAAAATCTACAGTAGGAGAACACAGGAGAGCCTGTTTCAACCTCCGAATGCTTACAAGAACATCACACATTTTTTATGGCAGTCTTCTTCCACAGACAAGGCTCCCTGAGCAACTTAAGTCAGATGAATAGAAACAACAGCAAATCATTAGTAGTGAATGTGGGCTTTTAAATGGCCTATTTAAAGAGGTGGAGACAATGACAGATCACCTTGCTGTCGTTCTCTCCCCTTGCTCACAGGGCAGTTGATTTTACATGCCTCTGGGTTGAATCCAACCAAGGCCCCATTACGCTATGCATTTAAAGCAGCTATGGCCCTTTTCAGACAGAGATGACTTGGCCACTGTACTCCATGCTCTGATAATTTCCAGACTGGATTACTCCAATGTGCTCTATGTGGGGCTGCCCCTTGAAGACAACTCAGGGAAATGCAGCCGTCGGATTACTGGCTGGAGTTCCATCTACATCTCATATAACGCCATATTAAAACAGCTGCATTGACTGTCAGTTTGTTTCTGGGCCCAATTCAAGGTGCTTATTTCGGTGTTTTTAGAGCCCTAAACTCAGGTCCCAAATACCAGAAAGACTGCTTCCTTCCCTACAGAGGCTCTCGGGTGCTAAGGTTGGCAGACGGTAAAGGTAAAGGTAAAGGTAAAGGGACTCCTGACCATTAGGTCCAGTCGTGACCGACTCTGGGGTTGCGGCGCTCATCTTGCTTTATTGGCCGAGGGAGCTGGCATACAGCTTCTGGGTCATGTGGCCAGCATGACTAAGCCGCTTCTGGCAAACCAGAACAGCACACAGAAATGCCATTTACCTTCCCAGCGGAGCGGTACCTATTTATCTACTTGCACGTTGACGTGCTTTCGAACTGCTAGGTTTGGAGAAGCTGGGACCGAGCAACGGGAGCTCACCCTGTCATGGGGATTCGAACCGCCGACCTTCTGATTGGCAAGTCCCAGGCTCTGTGGTTTAACCCACAGTGCCACCCTCTGGCAGACGGTACCCTCATGCTTATTCCACTGCTCTCAGAAGCTTGAGGTGTGTGCATGCGGCCTGGGAGAGGGTTTCCCCGTGGCAGCCCCTAAGTTGAGTTCTCCTTTGCCACCAAAGTGCTTTGCCACCTTCAGCTTATAACTTCCAGTGAATGCTCTAGATGTACCTCTTTCCCCTGACTTTTGATACTTGAGATGTATATTTTAAGGACCCACCTTATTCCTGTGTTTTGAAAGGTGTTTTAAGCTGTCTTTACTATTGTGTTTTAATGGTTGCAAACCACCCTGGGACTTCAGGGTGTAGGCAGGGGAAGCTGGTTAAAGGTCCATGAATTTTTTTAGGAGATCCCTATTCCCCTCTCGGGACGCGGGTGGCGCTGTGGGTTAAACCACAGAGCCTAGGACTTGCTGATCAGAAGGTCGGTGGTTCAAATCCCCACAACGGGATGAGCTCCCGTTGCTCAGTCCCAGCTCCTGCCAACCTAGCAGTTCGAAAGCACCTCAAAGTGCAAGTAGATAAATAGGTACCGCTCTGGTGGGAAGGTAAATGGCGTTTCCGTGCGCTGCTCTGGTTCGCCAGAAGTGGCTTAGTCATGCTGACCACATGAGCCAGAAGCTGTATGCCGGCTCCCTCGGCCAATAAAGCGAGATGAGTGCCGCAACCCCAGAGTCGGCCACGACTGGACCTAATGGTCAGGGGTCCCTATACCTTTACCTATTCCCCTCTCAAAGATACCATTCCCAGAGTTCCCTGGGAAGAGGGAACGGCAGTTCTGTGATGGGAATAGGGGTCTCCTAACAACCCTTGACCTCTTTACAATACTTCCCAGGATTCTTTAGGGGAAACAATGACTGCTTAAAGTGGTGTATTACTGCTTTAAATGTGTGATGCAGATGGGGTCTCAGTCAATGCACAAGAGGAATGGCTTCTGCTTGCACAACTGAACTTTCTTTCCGCTCCTCCCACTGTGTGCCTTCACAACTGCTCCGGGGAGCTAGGGAAATCAGCAGAGCAGATTTTTCCCCCCTTTTGGAGGAAGTAGGGGATCATAGAATCAAAAGAGTTTGAAGGGACCCTGAGGATCATCTAGTCCAATCCCCTGCAAAAGCAGGAATATGCAGTTGTCCTATACAGGGATTGAACATTATCAACACCATGCTCTAACCAACTGAGCTATCCAGGCAGGATGGAGTGGAAGTCCCATGGTGCAAGCAGAAGTCATCCTGCTCATGCAACGACTTAGGTGGACACAACTCTCTGTGAGCAGAGGAAGGGCAATAATGAAGAGAAGAATAGCGATGATAATAATTTGCATGCTGGATCCTTCTTGCCATGACCAATGGATTGCAACCAGCCCTCCCCTCCTCATAAGCTCCCGCCCAGCCCTTCGTTCCCCGCATTCCATACCCGAATCGGTGCCGGAACGTGCTCTGCTCCTTGTAGTGAAAAATGAAATCCGCTTAGTTCTGCACCCTTCGCCAGCTCTGTAGGCAAATGCAAACAAAGACCAATGAACCAAAGAACCCTCCTCTGTGGGACTGCTCCAAAACCAACACGAAGAACTCACTTTCCAAGCTGGTTCCTCGAGAGATCAAGTGATTTCAGCTGCCTGCAAGTCCACTTCTCCTGAGAAGGTAATGTGACCAAGCGGTTTCCTGAGAGTTTCAAGGACACCATTGCCTGAAAGAGGAAGCGACAGTTTTGAGGGGTCAATAATGGATAATCGGTTAAAAGTTCCAGTACTTTCACACAACAAAGGTAGAGCTGAAAGTTATCAACAACAACAAAACAAAAACAACAACAAAAGAAACTTTTTTTGAGCTTATCCTGAACCATTGCAGGAATCTCAGTCCACTCATAGAGATTATTTGGCAAAATGGACTACCTAATCTTGCCATCCAAGATGTGTGGGTGCAACGATTTTAATACTCTTTAAACATTGTTTAAAGGAAGCAACAAACTTCGCCATGACTTAGCTCATCCACTTCCTCCTTCCACCAAGTTGAAATAACAGTAGAGTTCTAGTCTATGTTAAGCAAGCTGAAATCTTGCCAGAGAGAGCTTTCTGAGGGAAGACCGTCAGAAAATTTCACCTCTTTCTCTCCTTCCAAATATTTCGCTCCAGAGTTTGCCTCTCACAAAAAGAATGGAGAATTTTGGAAGGCTATTTTTCCTTAGCCTTCTGGATGTTGTTGGACCTCAAATCCTATCAGCCACAGCTGGGATAGTCAATAATCAGGAATAATGGGAGTTGTAATTCAACAACATCTGGAGGGCACCTTGTTGGCTACCACTTATTTATACGGTATGGTGTTTTACGGAATGACCTGAGCAAAAAACAGAGAAAGGGAGGAATGATCCCTGCCCCAACAAAGAGCAGAACCCTTATGGTTCATTTTGGTTAGGCATGTGGACTAAGTGGCATGGTGGTCTAAACCACCGATCAGAAGGTTGGTGGTTCGAATCCCTGCGATGGGGTGAGCTCCCATTGCTCGGTCCCAGCTCCTGCCAACCTAGCAGTTCAAAAGCACGTCAAAGTGCAAGTAGATAAATAGGTACCACTCTGGCGGGAAGGTAAACGGCATTTCTGTGTGCTGCTCTGGTTCACAAGAAGCAACTTAGTCATGCTGGCCACATGACCTGGAAGCTGTCTGCGGACAAACGCCAGCTCCCTCGGCCAATAAAGCGAGATGAGTGCCACAACCCCAGAGTCGTCCACGACTGGACTTAACGGTCAGGGGTACCTTTACCTTTATACCAGTGTAACAGCATTGGTAGTTTGCAATGGGAATTAGGAAACTCATATTCTAGTTCAACAATAGTTTAACTTGTGCTTGAACTACAAATTTATCAGGAAATTCAAATTCCATTTCACAGCTGTCAACATCTGCCCCTGAACCATTGATTTCATAGGTCTTTTCGTCTACAGAATGACCCTATATTTTTGGTCAGCAGCAAAGAATATCTCTGGGGAAGAGCCATAGTATAGCTTAATGCGATGAAAAGAAATGGTCTTAGCTTCACACTTCCAGCTAGGGCTGGGAAGGACTCCTGGGTGAAACACCATGAGAGCTGCTGCCAGACAGTGTCAACAACATTGACCTAGATGGCCTGATGACCTGACTCGCTTTAAGGCAACTTCCTGTATGAATGGTGTACGGTAGTCATATCAGACTCATGATTTCCCTAGATCCCACCTGGTGAGACACTGCAAGCTTGCCAGGGACTCTGGTTTCTAAATTTCTGCGATTCTTGTTGTGCTGCACTGTACCAATAGCATAACGGATGACAGCATAGCAAGAGTGGTGGCACAGAGGAAAGATAAGCCCAGGAAAAGATGCCACAGCAGCACCACCTAGTGTTCCAAAGGCTGGACCGGCATGTGCCTTCCTAGCCATGTATTTGATTCCTTCAGGAATTTTATGAGAGTTTATGAGAGCTGCTCAGATCCTATGCTGTCTAATGCTCAGGAATCCAAAGCCAGCTTACGCAGCCAACTTCAGCCCCCACATACCATATTTACTCGAAGGTAATGCACTCTTTTTTTTTGGCCAAATTATGTCGCGAAAATTAGGGTGCACATTTGATGGCGCAAGATTCACTCTAGTCATATCAGACTCATGATTTCCCTGGACCACTAGCAGGAAAGTATGGGGTTAACTGGAAAATATGGTTGCTGGAGAATTCGAACTGAAAACAGAAGTGAAAATTGTTTGCTTGTTTGTCCCACATCTGAAGTGGGAATCAGGCCAGAGAATATCAATTGGAATTTGCTGTTGTTTGTTTTTCAGTCTGTAAACAATCCACAATCAATGACTCCTCCCCCCCCTTTAAATTTGTGTTTCCTTTGCGTTGAAATGAATGGTGTGGAAATAATGACTTCCTTAATTATGTTAAATCTCTAACTTTCATGATTTATGTTAAATAGTGGAAAGCAAGATGGGGGGAAAATGTACTCTTTGGCAGAGATCAAACTGCAGTGGAACGGAAACAGCACTGATTGTGACAAAGACAGCTGCCTTCTGACATCCCTGCTGGAAATACAGGCATATAATGGACCATTCTGAGAGGGGTTAGCTTTTCCCACATCAGCAATACACAAGGGCTGCAGTCACCACAACCACCATGAGTGGCCTCACCATTTGTTGTTCCAGAGTGGACTATTCAGTCCCAATTAGCAATTAATTCCCCCAAAGGACAGCTGGGAGCCAAATGGAACCATGCTGTCTGAAGGGGTCTGAGAACACACACACACACACAAAACCTCCTGCAAGTATTCATTTCTTACATTGCTATCCTCCCTGCTTTCTAGGGAGGTTTGAAGAGGTGTACATGCTCCTCCCTTCACCTGGTTTTATCCTGTGAGGCAGGTGAGACCAAAAGATAAGGAGTGGTCCAAGGTCGCCCAGTGACTGTGCTCCCTGTTTGGGTTGAGGCCCTGATTTTGGTTCTTCCCATTCCTAGTCTGATTTTCAGATTGGTGGCTAACCAATGGCCTTCCTGCTGTTGCCAAACTACAACTCCCATCATTCCTGACAGGGCTGATGGGAGCTAGAGTACAGCTCAAGTTGGAGGGCCACAGTTTAGCTACCTCTGCACCAATCACTAACTCTGCACTGGTTCTCTATAACTAAAAGGTAAAGGGACCCCTGACCATTAGGTCCAGTTGTGGCCGACTCTGGGGTTGCGGCACTCATCTCGCTTTATTGGCCAAGGGAGCCGGCATACAGCTTCCGGGTCATGTGGCCAGCATGACTAGGCCGCTTCTGGCGAACCAGAGCAGCACACGGAAAGGCCGTTTACCTTCCTGCCAGAGCGGTACCTATTTATCTACTTGCACTTTGATGTGCTTTCGAACTGCCAGGTTGGCAGAAGCAGGGACCTAGCAATGGGAGCTCACTCCGTCACGGGGATTCGAACCGCTGACCTTCTGATCGGCAAGTCCTAGGCTCTGTGGTTTAACTACTACACTGGTATTGTGGCTTTAGCAAGCTAGATTTTGTAGCCGGTTCCAAAGGTCTGTTCGGAATCCTATCATGCAGCACACCCTTTCGACTGAATTCCATCTAGGTTCCTCTGCCACTCTAGGGACGCAAAAGGAATTGGGGAAGTGATTATATCTACATTTACTCTCTGTAATAAAGAAGGCAACCAAAAGCATAGTGACACTTACTTCGAGCTGGAAGAGACACTGGGGAACTTCTTTCAGGGAATTATCAGAAAAATCCACTTCCCTGAGATGATTTTTCCAGAAAACAGCCAAAGTATCCGGGAGGAATTCAATTGCATTTCTAGCAGCTTTGCAGCATTTCTAGAATTGAGAGGGAAAATAAAGTCTGAATGTGGACAGAAATCCCCAAGGCATTATCTACTCTTCAAGGGAGCTCACTGGGCAGAATCTCAATTGTAGCCCAAGAGACATGGCATCCCTCAGCCATGCCAAGCAATTCACGTGCCATCTTACAAGGCCTCTACCACGACTGCAGTTCAGACTTACCAAGGGACAGGCCCATGGCTGGGGAAACACCTTCAGGTTATTCCTGGATGCATTCAGGACATTCAAGGATTTCAAACAGTGGAGAAAGAGGGTGGGCAGCTCCGACAACTTATTGTCAGAGATGTCCAGCTCCTGCAGCTTCCTTAATCCAATCCAGTTAACTGCTAAAAAAAAGAAGAAAAAGAAGAAGAATCAGAGGAGGAGGATGAAGAAGAAGAAGAAGAGGAAGAGGAAGAGGAAGAGGAAGAAGAAGAAGATGAAGAAGAAGAAAGGAAGATTTTATGAGAGGTTCTTAATTGTCATAAGCGGGTAATGAAATTATTCATTTTCTTTATTTCCAGTTATCTGTATCCTGATTTTCAGACAACAGGTGTCTACTAAAAGCAGCTTGTGTCAGTAAAAAATAAATAAATGAGACTAGCTGTGCTTACAAAACTAAAAGAAAAAAAGACAGGACATACAAAAGGAGTGGAGAGAGAAACTAAACTAAAAGGAAGTTGGTAGCCTGCAAGGAATTGAGGGATGAGGAGAAACATCTCCACTGCACTGCACTATATAGCACAAGAATGCTGAGCTCTGGGGCTGAATTGCTGGTGCTCTGGGGCTACATCATAAAAACCCCTATGAAGTAAGGTGTTTGGGACTTCTTTAGAGAAAAGGCAACTAAGCAGTGACATGAAAGAAGTTTATAAAGTAGCACGGAGAAAGCAGATAGGGAGTTGTTCTCCCTCTCTCTGAACAGTAGACCTTGGAAGCTTACTACTGGAAGGTTCAGGTCAGAAAAAGGAAATGATTTATTCACACAGGGCATAGTTAAAATTATGGACCTCTCTCCTTCAGGAGGCAGTGATGAGCACCAACTTAGATGGTTTTAAAAGAGGACTGAGGATAAGACTCCTATGTTTTTATGAGAAGCAGGAGGAAAACACGGCACAGTAGGGTTTGTGGTAGAGGTCTCTTGGCAAGAGATCAGCAGTTCATCAGTCATCCTGCACAGGTAGTTCTGGCTAGATAGTTTCATCACAAATCCACAAGGTCTAGTGAGAATGCCTGCAAGGTTTACTGGTCCCCACCCACTGGCTAGGAAGATCGCACAGGCCAACCGGAAATTCCTAGCTAAGATGCACCCACCATTCTCTGCATCTAATAACTTTTCGAGATAATTTTTGGAAGCCACAAGCCTTTGGAGTCTGGAAAGGTGCAGGAATCCAGAAGGAAGAATAAGGAACCTGTTGCTGGAAATGTCGATCTCAAGCAACCTGTGGATTTAAATAAACACAAAAGATAAATCTGCTATATATTTTGGAAAGTTGTTTGTCTGTTTGATATGAATTAGGACTGCACTGATTTTAACCACTTTGGTTTGGTTTCTTAAGATTTACCAAGCTACCAGAAGGCATACCTGAGATCATGTGGTTCCTTTCATTATCTGTGGAACCAAGAAATATTACTGGACTCCAGATCCTATCAGCTCTATCTAGCGAGGCAGTTGTCACGGATGATAAGAGCTGGAGTCCCACAGCAGTGGGAGGGATACAGGTTCCCCAACCAAGACATGGTACGTACTTTGTGCAGATGATTCCATCTGAAGAATGTACATCAGGAAGTTTGTTTAACCGGTTCTCAGCAAGGTTTAGTTTCTGGAGGTTTATCAGTCCCCAAGGGATAACAGAAGGGAGGGAGGTCAAGCAATTGGCAGAGAGGTCCAGCTCAGTTATCTGGTGGGAAATGTCTATCAACCATTCGAGATCCACCCAAGGAAGCCCAAGGTTCGACCAGTTCACAGAAAGAGCCTGAATGTGAAAGAAAGGTGAAGGTTTTAATGGGAATCATCAATGACTCTGACTGAAAAGCATAAAATGTTGAATCTCTGGGATGCGCCCAGGCCATTCAGCTGCTTGGTTGAGCTAGGAAGGTAAGAATGCTGCAATTTTGCTCCAACCATCATAATCAGCACTGTTTTCATGCTGCTCTAGTTTGGTTCCCGACAACCACTAAGTTACTTGTCTCACTTTTCTGCTATTTAACTTATGAAACTGTATGTGGAAATCACATTCGTTTCAGTGCAAAGGAAACAACAGAACAATGCAAAGAACACAATTATTACTTGTAGACTTAAAAATGTGAACAAATGCCAATTGAATACACTTGACTAATTTCTGCTCTGGACTACAGACGGACATGCAAACTGATTGCTCTCAGCTTCGCAGTCGCCAGTAAGGAGATGGAGGCTCACCATGGCAAACATTGGCCACAAGTGCTGGGGCTGATGGGAGTTGTAGTTCAGCAACATCTAGAGGCCCAAAGGTTTCCTATGCCTGCTCAAGCCAGCCAGCCAGCCAGCCTGCCCAAGCTGCAAGCCTTAATGGAGGCCAGAGAAAGTCATCTGACTCATTCCAGCTTATCAGGACAAAAATAGGCCTATCATGGGGCATCGTGACTGATCTACTGTGCAATCAAGTCTTCACGCTGTGTTAAAGCAATAAATTAAAGAGACACTTTTTTGGGGGGGGGAGGGGAAGTATGGAGTGTATCTGAGGCCAGAAAGGCATGCTATTAGCATTACCAAGTGCAAGTCACTTAGTTCCCCTTGTCTTGTGATATGCAAACACCTACTCACTGTCTTTGCTGGGGCATTCCCAGGTAACTTGATTGTTTCTACAAAGTATTTACGAAGAACTTGTTTGCTTGTGCTGGGGCAGTCCACCAGGACGTAGGAAGAAAAGAAGGATCCATTCTCAAGCAAGAAGGCAGCAACCTTTTCATGTCCTAGCAAAGAAGATGGAAGGGAAGAAAATTAACACCCGTGTGCACATTTCAGGCTATTTTTAAAGCAAAAATGCCATATATCCCAAAGACCTGCATGCACACTATATAGCTAAAGCACATTTAAATCACAAGGTTTCCCTCCTCCCCAAATTCCTGGGAACTGTAGTTTACCCATCACAGAGCTACAATTCCCAGCACCCTTCACAAACTACAGTTTGGGAGAAGTTATGTGCTTTAAATGTCTGGTGTGAAGACAGCCAGGTAATTAAAAAACACCAGCTGAGAGGCTCGTTGATAAAAAAAGAAACCTCTATGTGTCAAATACAGTGTGGAATGGGGAATGGTGCCATTTTGAAGCCCGAGACACCAACCTTTTCTACTTTTGCCCCTACGTGGGAATGCGAAGTTTTTAAAAGGGAAAGGAGACCACAGATCCCACATTCACATACAGTACCTGCTTTCATAGCTGCATAGAGTGGCAATCGTGTCAGAGCTGCAAACTCGTTCTTTCTCAAGGCATAGCTGTCGGGGTCTGCTTTGTATGTCAGCACTAAGAGCTTGGCTATGTCCAGGTGGCCCTGCTGGCAAGCAATGGCCAGCATCCAGTTCAGGAGCTGCAACATGTTTGCAGGACCTGTTTTTTAAAAAACAAGCACAAGCACAACTACGTCAGGCTCTGGAGCAATTTACAGGCAAGAAAACACAAGGGGCGTCGCCCATAAACAGCACATCTGTCAATTATCTTGTAACAGGACACCCAGGGCTATTTGCCATCTCAGTAGCCTCAGGACTGCCAGTCAACAGAATAGTCTGGTTATCAGGCATGGAGTCTGGAGCCCTGTGAAACTCGACTTTCAATTTAAATAAATACGACGTCTAGCTTTAGGGCATGATCACGGTAAAATTTAAAGCACTATCCTGTCACGGGCTTTCCCCAAGGAATCCTGGGAACGGCTGCTTTGTGAAGGAGCTTCCCTATTAAACTGTTATTACAATTTATTGCTGCACTGTTTATAAATACCTTGCCTTGTAGGAAAAGCCCTTGGAAGGCTGCTTCACAGTGTGGAAGTTAAAACTTAAAACTAAAACAGTATCAGGTGCAATAATACATAAGGGGCCACAAATAAAACCAGTTTCATGCCAAAAGGCCTATTGCAGCTGCTTACAACCTTTATATTAGCCAGCCATTTTAATGACTACTGTGTTCTGCTTTAAATGGTTTTTGTATTTTATAGTATACATACAACATACTGTTGTAAACCTCCCTGATACTTTATGAAGAGTGTGGTATATAAGTCCTCCAATAAATAAAGTGCTTGGCAGTTTGTTGTTTTAAGTCAGTGGGTCCACTTAAATGTGGTAAGAGAGGTGGTCAATCAGAGCTTTAGGATAGAGAGACTTCTACAAATGTGGGCCACCACGAAAAAGGTCCTAACTCTGGTATGTATCAATCTCATTGAACTTAGTGGTGGTCCAGGCAGCAGGGCCTCCAAGGCTGAGCTTAGGGGCCCAAGCAGGTTCAAATCCTTAATGCTTAAAATGGTAGAATGCTTAAAATGGCTGCTTGGTGGGACAGAACTATCCAAAATGTATAGAAATTATTCATGTATGCTACTATAGCAGCAAGAATATTACTTGCCCCAAAATGGAAAAAAAAGCAGAAGTTCCAGCAAAGGAAGAATTGATGCAAAAACTTATGGAATATGCAGAAATGGTGAAACTTACTGGAAGAATAAGAAATCAAGTTAACAATTCTTTAAATAAAAGAATGGAAATGGTTTATTGAATAATTACAGATAAATTATACACAGATAAAAACATTGGCGGGATTATTGTAATAACCTGCAGTTTCATAACAGTATATATTTAAAGAAGGTGAATAAATGAGCAAATTAAGTTAATCTGGATATGCAGACGATATTAACAACAAATTTAAGGAACCGTAGAAAGAGGGGGAAAGAAGTCAAGTTTTGAAATGTCAAAATGATTGAAAAAATTAGTGAAATGTATAAAATTAGTGAAAGGTATAAACTTGAAATGTATAAATAATTTTAAAATAAAATAAAATAAAATGGCCGCTTGGCAAAACAACAGTTCCCAAGGTCCCGTTTCTGAAAGCTCCTAGGGTTCAGAAAGATGGAACACAGGGACATGGAAAGCTGCTTGACACTGAGTAAAACCATTGGTCCATCTAGCTCAGTATTGTTTATACTGACTGGGGCAGCATCTGTGAAGGATTTCAGACAAGGGACATTCCCCCAACCCTACCTGGAGATGCTGGGGCTTAAATGTGGGACCTTAAGCCTGCAAGGTGGATGCTCTACCACTGAACTATGGCCCTTCAATGGAAGGTACGAGAGGCAAAGTAGCTTCAACAAGCACCTCAAAGGCTAATGGGATGGGCAGGAGAAGAACCTACCATGAAAAGAATCCAGCAGTTCTTTAGCAACGTCTGTATGCCCAAAATATGCTGCCACAACAGCTGGGTTATCGTCGTTGGGTTCCAGGGGCAAAGTCACGCATGCTTCTTTCAGCAAATACCTCACGGTCTCAAGGTCTCCATAGGCAGTGGAAAGACTCAAGAGGAGGCTCTGGTTTGGAGAAGAGGAGTGGAATACATAGCACATGAGCCCAAATGAACCAAAACACAGAGATTTTTTGTTATTCATAAGCCATAGCGAAGATATCTTTGATATAGAGCCTGCAGGATCAGGCCCACCTAGTCCGTAGTAGCCACTCCCATAACACTGGGGAACCTGCAACTATAGCACCTGAGCTTCTCCCCTCCTGTGGAGACAGAGCATAGCCATCCTGGCTAGTAGCCACTGTTAGCCTTATCCTCCATGAATTTGTCTAATCCTCTTTTAAAGCCCCCTAGGTTGGTGGCCACCAATGCCTTGTATGGGACGAGGTTCCACAGTTTTAAAAAATCTATCCTGAATCTTCCAACGTTCAGCTTTGCTGGATGCCCACAAGTTCGGATGCTTTGTTTGTCTCTCTACCTACTTTCTCCATAAGATGTTTTGTGGGGGTGGCGACATGGCCCGGAATTTCATAAAATGGCCTTCTCGATCTCATCAGGATATCCTGACGTGAGGAAGCTGTAGCTCACAAGGTGTTGTTAGCCTACGACTCCCATCATCCATGACTACTGACCATACTGTCTGGGGCTGATGGGAGTTGGAGTTCAAACTCTTCTGAAAGGCCACTGGTTCCTCATCCTTGGTGGAGGGGTAGCTAGAGAAGAATCTAGAAGCGAGTAGGCCAAAGTAACCTACTGTGGGAGGGCTTAGCAGGGTTAGCCTATGATTTTGACCATAGGGGTAGAGGTGGGTAGAGGGGTATTTTCCCGTATACACCCCTGCTGTTTTCTGGATCTCAATCATATTCTCCCTCAGAGTTGCTCCACAGTGGGAAAAATAACAGGTCAACGGTGGGAAGTGTGGTTAACCCTTTCCACAATGCTGCTACTGAGCCCGGCCTTGGCTGGGGAGGGCGGGGTATAAATAAAAAAAATATTATTATTATTATTACTGTGAACAAAATGGGAGACCTGCTGCTTTTAATGCAACCATTGTGAAGTTAAATGGGCATGGGGGAATCGTGAGATATTGGCCTCATTTCCACCTTACAGTTATCAGGCCATGTTAAAAAGTCATGGCTTCCCCACAAAGAACCCTAGGAACTATAGTTTGTTAAGAGTGCAAGGAATTGTTAGGAGAACACTATTCACCTTACAGAGCTATACAGTGGTACCTTCGTTCTGGAGGTCTTCACCTTACAGAGCTATACAGTGGTACCTTCGTTCTGGAGGTCTGTTCTTAACCTGAAACTCTTCTTAACCTGAAGCACCACTTTAGCTAATGGGGCCTCCCGCTGCCGCTGCGCCACCGGAGCACGATTTCTGTTCTCATCCTGAAGCAAAGTTCTTAACCTGAAGCACTATTTCTGGGTTAGCGGAGTCTGTAACTTGAAGCTTATGTAACCTGAAGTGTACGTAACCTGAGGTACCACTGTAATTCCCCAAGTTCCTTGGGAAGAGGGATTGTTAAAGCATTCTGGGAACTGTAGCTCTGTGAGAGGAATAGGGGTCTCCTAGGAAACAAGATTCAAGAGGCTGCAAGGTTATGCTGGAGATCCTATAGCAAATGTCTTGATTTGCAGAATGTACTCTTCTCGTCTTTCATTTTGGGGCAGAATTTTGACGGCTGTGCCCTTACCTTCTCCACTGCCGAGATATTCTCCTGACACGCTGCTTTAATCAGCTCCTGGGCTCTACCGAATTCTCCACTTCTGTAAGCGCCCTCCACAGTCTCTGTCGCTGGACCCTGGCCGATGGAGAGACCTCCAGTGGAGGACTGTCTGGCCCCCATGCCCATGGGATCTGCACACACAGAGAGAAAGGGGAGAGAACTTTTATTTACTTAGAAGCCGCTTTCTGTGGGGAGGGCCTCAAGGCTGCTTTCAACGTAGAACACTAAAAATGCAATAAAAATACAGGCAAGATGACAATATAAAACTGCAAATTAAAAAATGGCAGAGCAGCAGGTTAAAACAGAAAAGAAAGACATTCAGGTAAAAGGATCTCAACACAGGAACATAGGAAGCTGCCTTATACGGAGTCAGACTATTGGTTCATCTCAGGACAGTACATCTCAGGACTGACTGGAGGGACGCGGGTGGCGCTGTGGTCTAAACCACTGAGCCTCTTGGGCTTGCTGATCAGAAGGTTGGCAGTTTGAATCTCTGCGACGGGGTGAGCTCCCATTGCTCTGTCCCAGCTTCTGCCAACCTAGCAGTTCGAAAGCACACCAGTGCAAGTAGATAAATAGGTACCGCTCTGGCGGGAAGGTAAACGGCAGTTCCGTGTGCTCTGGCTTCCATCACAGTGTCCCACTGCACCAGCAGTGGTTTAGTCATGCTGACCACATGACCCAGAAAGCTGTCTGTGGACAAACGCTGGCTCCCTCAGCCTGAAAGCGAGATGAGCGCCGCAACCCCATAGTCGCCTTTCACTGGACTTAACCATCCAGGGGTCCTTTACCTTTACCTTTTTACACTGACTGGAAGTAGCTCTCCAGGGTTTCAGTCAAGAGGCTTTCCCACCCCTTCCTGGAGCTACTAGATAGCAGATGGTCCACCACTGAGCTATCAAGTTTGGTGAGTGTTTGGGGAGGGAGGGAGAGAGAAGAGGACCAATAGCTGAGAGAAAGGAATAAATGTGTGCACTTTCAAGTAGGGACATGAAACTGGAGGTGACACTTCCTTAAATAAAGGTACTTTCCAACCGATGATATCTAATGAGACAAGGGCGCCCTGGATCCTTCACAGAGAGGCAAGCAAAAAGACACCCCACCCCACAACCTGGTGCTTTCCGTATGTTTTGGACTACAACTACCAGTTGTACAATCTACCAGTGTTCATATTTAGCATAGTTCTGTATTAGATAGAGACACAAAGTTTTAATTACTGTGCTGTTTTGACAGGCTTGTTTTACTGTGCATTCAATTGCGGGTGTTTGTTTTAATGTTTTGATGGAATTGTTTTTACTGCACATTTTAATTACACATATTTATTTTGCAATTGCTATTGTAAACCACCTAGAAGACACTTTGGCAATTAAGTCATATATAAATTAATTATTATAAACAAGAAATAATGACGCAACTCTGATCAACCCCAGCCACCACAGCCATATTAGCTGGGCTTGATTTGGATTACAAATCCTGTCAGTCTAGGGATGGGGGATAAATTTGATTCAGTTCACATTTAAAGGCAGATCTAACTGCACATTCTGAAACATTCCAAGAACTGAAACGTAGACATCCTTTGAACTTTGCTCTTCTCCAACTTTTGCAATGCAGTTCTCCGGCTGAGTAATATGTACAAAAATGCATAGACTAGGCCAAGTGGTGCATAAAAACCCATATATTTGTGAAAATAACAAACAAAAATGCATTTTACTAGGGGGAAATATGCTTTGCAAAAAGGTATGTGTGAGGAAAAGTTCATTCCTAAATGCATATATTAGAAGAAAGTTCCATAAAGGCATTAAAAAATTACAAACTGTCGTTGAAATAAGGGGAACTGAACTCAAGAGTGGAGAAACGAGAAACAAAGAGAACCTGAGTCAACAGATTCATCCATCCCTACATCAGCCCCATCTGGAGGGCATCAGGATTGGGAAGACCATGGCAAGAAAGCTTTTAAAAAATCATTATATTGTTCCCGCCGTCCCTTAAAAGGGAGAGGGGCTCAGGGTGAGCTGTGGGGGGATAGGTGAGGGGGTGTGAGAGGTGTGGGGCAAGGGAAACTGTCAAAGGGGTTGGCGGGGAGACAGGTTTGGAGAGAAGAGTGAGCAGGGGCAGTAGCCACCAGGACCATTGTAATAGTGGCATGTCAGCTGCTACAGGGCTCTTGGATTGGTTTTGCTGCTGCTAAAGACTTGACACGGCTACCCGTCTGGTAACCTTCCACAAACACTCAATGGGCTGAAAGAAGAAGCTTAAGTGCAACCCCCTACTGACAAAGCAGTAGGAAGAGATGGGCTCCATCTGCAGCTGTCCGCAAATACCCTTGAATAAGGCATCTTGGATTACCCATAAAGTCTGACTAACTCTTCCTCGTCAATTATTCAAAACGGAGCTCAGGTCGCCGAGACAGCCGAGACGGCTCCGGGGATTTGCGCCATTAAGCTGCGAAGGCATCAATAATCTCCCACAAGGCGATCCTCCCGGGCCTTAGAGAACGTGGGAAGGACAGGATGATCCGTCAAAGCTGGGGAGATGGCATTGGCTCCAGGTCTTTATGCATGGTAGAGTAATGCCCAGAGAGGTCGGACCATAGCTGTCAACTTTTCCCTTTTCTTGCAAGGAATCCTATTCGGAATAAAGGAATTTCCCTTAAAAAAGGGGAACGTTGACAGCTATGGGCCGGACTCCATTGGAAGAATCTGAATCCAGTGGCAGGGAGCTGAACCAAGGAAGTAGATGACCACACTAGGAACTAGACTTGGGTTGCAGGCTTCAGCGGGGTGCCAGCACCACCTTACCCTGAATTCTTGGGTAGATGCTGGGGTCCAAGGAAGGGCCCACCCTTGATGTCTGCCCTCCTTTCCTCCAGTTAACAACAACAAACAACAATATATTATTTCTACCCCACCCCTCAGGCTGGGTTTCCCCAGTCACTCTGGACGGCTCCCAACAGAATATTAAAAACATGATAAAACATCAAATATTTAAAACTTCCCTAAACAGGGCTGCCTTCAGATGTCTTCCAAAAGTCAGATACAGTGGTACCTCAGGTTAAGTACTTAATTCGTCCTGGAGGTCCGTACTTAACCTGAAACTGTTCTTACCCTGAAGCACCACTTTAGCTAATGGGGCCTCCTGCTGCTGCTGCACTGCCGGAGCCCGATTTCTGTTCTCATCCTGAAGCAAAGTTCTTAACCTGAAGCACTATTTCTGGGTTAGTGGAGTCTGTAACCTGAAGCGTATGTAACCTGAGGTACCACTGCAGTTGTTTATTTCCTTGGCATCTACCGAGAAGGCCCTGTGCCTGGTTCCCTGTAAGCTCACTTCTTGCAGTTTAGTATTCAACACAGTGCCAGGCGGCCAGGTCTATCTGCCATTCCAATTTCCCACAATGCCTCAGATGTAGCATCTCTGTGTGGGGCATTATTGAAAATTTATATGGTAGCTAGGTCTCTGTCACTCAACCAGGTCTTAAGTGCTATTTCTGCCCACTGCTGACACAACATAAAAGAGCCCCAGTCCCTCTGACAGAAAAGGGGCACTCAAATCTAAGGCTGGGCAGCAGGCAAAAAGTTCTGCTCTGTTGGGCAGGTTAAGAGATGGCTGGGCTCCTGGTATTCATTTGCAAAACTATGCCTGGTGAAATCTTAAATTCCAGGGTTTGGCTGAGGGTGGGTTGGAAGGAGGGTGGAGGCTGAGGTATTATTAATATTACCAGAAATATAATGGATCTAGCATGTTAAAATTTGCAATGAACTTCAGCATCTGAAACAAATCCTTTACCACCTCTGGTAAGAGAAGCAAAAATAAATTGGGCAAAATAAGGAGAGGTATAAAATAAACTCTAGTAATATGATGCATCTTATGAGGATACATAGCTCCATTCAATGAAAGCTTATCAAAATTCCAGTCCTCTCCTGTTCCTCACATTAACCCTACATACTGAAAGCTTTATCAAGAGATATCTTAAGCTTGCTACAGAAGTTGATCAGGCCCAGATTCTGGTGAACCCCCAAGGACAACCTGTCATTTGGGGCAGCTACCATGGACGCGGGTGGCGCTGTGGGTTAAACCACAAAGCCCAGGACTTGCTGATCAGAAGGTTGGCAGTTCGAATCCCTGCGACGGGGTGTGAGCTCCCGTTGCTCGGTCCCTGCTCCTGCCAACCTAGCAGTTCAAAAGCACATCAAAGTGCAAGTAGATAACTAGTTACCGCTCTGGCGGGAAGGTAAACAACATTTCCGTGCGCTGCTCTGGTTTGCCAGAAGCGGCTTAGTCATGCTGGCCACATGACCTGGAAGCTGTACGCCGGCTCCCTCAGCCAATAAAGCAAGATGAGTGCAGCAACCCCAGAGTCGGCCACGACTGGACCTAATGGGCAGGGGTCCCTTTACCTTTACCATGGTGCTCTCTCTCTCTCTCTCTCTCTCTCTCTCTCTCTCCACATGCCATGCCATTGTGCTTGTTGGTCTATAGCAGCCTTCACAAACCTGGTGCCCTTCAGACATTCAGCTGCCCAAGAAATCTGGAGGGTACTAGGTTGGTGACGGCTGATCTATAAGGCACACCCAAAGACAGTGATAGGAAAAACTTGAGCACGGAGTTTTGAGAGACAGGATTTTAAATGCAATATTCCCCCACTTCCTGGAAAAAACCTGCTCTAATAATATAAGCAGTTTTTAATTCCGTTGTGCCCCAGCTCTGTGTTTAACCTAGTTTCAACAGTGCAAAACAACCCAACAACATTTGCATGAATCTCAATGAGTCGCTGAAAAAAATATGTACAGCATAATTAAACGTATTACGCAAACACAGAAAGAAATAAAATTTTGTTGTAGAGCTTAATTCATGGATTGCAAAGCTGGCATCTGTGGGCAAAACTCTTCTGCAAAGGTGTTCCTTAGTGTCTGCAGGGTCCCATCTTCTGACTAAAACTAGGCTTTGAAGAAGCCCCCTTTAGCCAAAAGGATGAGGTGAATCTTTTATCAATTGGCTTCTTTTACAAGCTATCCTTAATGCTAGTGTACTAAGGAACAAAAAATAGAGGAATTGTGATAAACTGCACATTGCAACACACATATTCTTTACATTGGGAGTAGGTGGTAGAACTCTTGGTGATGTGCAAAAGATC